TAGTATTTTATTTTCTTCAGACTATGATAAATATGAATGGGTACTCATTCCCAGGGCACCAGTGCTTATCCAGCAATTGTGTAATTCCTTAATTTGTAGTTGGGTTATACTAAAATCATATTTTGAACTGCTAACATTCTTTGGGATTTAGATTAAATGATCTAAGTCCTATTTTATTAATTAGAATTTATTTTACTTAATTCACTTCAGTGTGGTTGGACAAGTAGGTTAACAATAGACCTGTTATGTCACTGTGTATTACTTAATCATAATGATCATCTTTCTTATTTTCTACACAGTTTATTATTCATGCCACATACAGTCACATAACCATTAACAAGTATTTTTTGTTGTTGGTTTGTTGTTTCACTACTATTATTTTTTCCATAAAAGGGTAGTGAGGTACTTCACTTACTAGAACTAGGAGTTTTTAGAAAATATTAAGACAACTGTCAAAGTATTGTCTGGAAAGACTTATTCTAGCTTTATATAAATGTCTTCAGCTACTAGCTAGTGTTCATTAATGGCAATACTGCCCTCTGGTGTTCAGTAATCAATTCAGCTCATATTTTTCCCAGTTAACTTCCCAGTTGAATCACTTTAGATTCTAGATCCTTTTTTGAAAGTGATTAGTTGATTTACTTTAGTTTACTTTCTGGCTTGAAGCCCATTGGATCGGGTAATATGGAGTTGCATTAGAGTCAGAAATTTGTTTGCTTATCTGTCTTTTGATAGGTAATAGTATCTAAGGGTTGTCTCTGTGTGTGTGTGTGTGTGTGTGTGTGTATGTGTGTGTGTGTGTGTGTGATAACACTTTCCTCTGTTTACAAGGAAAGTGTTCCTAATCATTAATTAAAAAAAAGAAAACACAGAACATTGGATCAGTGCCAACTTTTTAAGAGATAAATCATTATTCTCTTCCCTTCACTTTTGTAACTGATGTGTTCATTTTTCATTTCATTCTGAATATGAATCGTAATTTCTTTTGCCTGTGTTTTTTCTTCACAAGCACGCCTTTCATATAATGATAGAGGTAAGACGCATTGATGTTTGTTTTATGGTTGTGGAACTTTTTGTGGATGCATACTAAACATTTTGTCCTTAAATTTTTGTTGTTATTGTTTTATTGTGCATCCTTTATAGTTTATATACATTTATATTATAAAGATTCCTCCCCTACTTAACATTTATATTATAAAGATTCCTCCCCTACTTACAGTATAAAAATAAGATTTATTTAACCTAATACTAGCTTTTGTTTTTAAAGAATTATTAATCTTTACATTTATCTAAGGTAGAGACATACTTTGGCTGATTACAATGTAATACATAATGATTCAATTTGCCTTAATGACTTAGTATTGCAAGTTTTATTGTGTGTCCTATACTTAATTGTTAACCTACTCATTTTAACTAACTTTGTCATATAGCCCATTGTATTTTAATGAGAAATATATATTTTCAAGTATAATTTCATCTTTGGATTATCTAGCAAATGAACTAGCTGCGTGAGTGTGGTTTCTTCTTCTTGTGCTTTCTAGAGGTTTAATGCTATTAAAGACTAGAATTCATTCTTCACATGGAAGATTCAGAAATAAGTAAAATGATCACTATTGGATATTTTTCCAGTTCTGGTAATCTCAGTATATCTTCTCATCTTCTAATGTCATTAGAAGAAATGTAACCAGAAATGTATTTTAATGCTTATCATTTGGTTTGAAGAAATAGCACAAGCCGGGCGCTGGTGGCTCACGCCTGTAATCCTAGCTACTCAGGAGGCTGAGATCTGAGGATTGCGGTTCAAAGCCAGCCCGGGCAGGAGAGACCGTGAGACTCCTATCTCCAATAAACCGCCGGAAAACCGGAAGTGGCGCTGTAGCTCAAGTGGTAGAGCGTTCGCCTTGAGCTGAAGAGCTGAGGGACAGCGCCCAGGCCCAGAGTTCAAGCCCCACGACCGACCAAAAAAAAAAAAAAAAAGAAATAGCACAATATTGCAAGCTGGAGACTGAGGGAGGTTTTCAGAGATTCTGAAAGCCTTCTATTTGCTTCCCTAGATGTATGTTTACTGTGGAGTAGATCAAAGCCATGTCTTACAGGTGATATCAGAATATTACTGATATTTATGAAATTTAAGTTTCCATTTATCTCTGTAGGGGTTCATTCTAAAGATTTAAATCTGTATTCCTAGAATAAAATACTGAGTTTTTGTTGATACTAATAGGTTGAAAATAATTTCTAATATTCTTGAATTTATAGGTCAAGTAAAAAAGTAGATGCTAAAGATATATTTAAAACTTCCAGTAATTAAAATAGTTACTTATCAGTACTATAAATTTTATATAGTTATAATTTTGCTATAAAGTTATTCATTTTAAGCTAATTTTAAGTGTTAATATTATATTACACTTAAAAACACATTTCTGAAAGTTCAGAAATTGAACAAGAATGTGCCTTTGTAGACCTTTGAAAATTTGGCAGTGTTCTTTTTTAAGATTTTTATATTTTAAGTAATTTTTATTATAGTCTTTTTTTCTGGTCATTATGATAAAATATTGAATATAATTATAATATTAGAAAAGTGTTCTTAAGATTTCCTTATGAAGTAATAGCATCTTAAGAAATTTTTAAACAGAATCTTACTAACTTACAGGAAGTTTGAAGTTTATGTGTACATTCGGAAACCATCTAAATTTTTTTTTTTTTTGTCAGTGTGTGGGCTGAACTCTGGGCCTGGGCGCTGTCCCTCAGCTCTTCAGCTCAAAGCTAGCACCCTACCACTTGAGCCACAGCTCCACTTCCAGCTTTTTCTGCTTATGTGGTGCTGAGGAATCGAACCCAGGGCCTCATGCATGCAAGGCAAGCACTGAGCCAACTTCCCAGCTTGTCATTTTGTTTTTTAAAGAGACATTAAAAAATTATATACTTGCTAAATTTAAAGTTATAGGAAAGTATAATATACTTCAAAATATTTCATATTTTGAAGAGGTGATATGGATTGAATCATTAAATTTTATTTCAATAGATAAGTCTTATCTATGTGTAGGCATCCTTTTGAATCAATAGATAATGTATATTTTAATGCTAATCTACAGAAACAATATAGTCAGTTTATCTAAAAGTTATTAAAACACAATCTTTCAACTTAGAACCTTAGTACTTTCTACCTCTTCAGCTTTCAGCCCTTATATGCATAATTTTCTTTTTGGCATTCTTGCACTGAAAACTACCTTTCTAACTTTTCACTATTTAAATTAATTGTTCTTTCATGCATTTGCACAGTGATTCTTGTACCTTGAGGACTGGGTGATTTTCTTGCCTTAGAAAAACAGTATTCGGTCACTCTCCCTTTCCCCAGTTCCATGTTAATATAAGCAGCTTACTCTTCCAAGTAGAACTCTTATTACAGGTGGAAGTATTTAATTGAAGAATTATTTATACAAAGGGTGTAATTTTCATAGGAATTTACCAAAGATGATTTTTTTTCTGTTTGTTTTTTTTGGGGGGGGGTGGTAACTGTTATTTTGGCTTCCACTCAGGGCCTCAGATGCTTACTTGGCATTTTTCTTCGAGGCTGTCACTCTAGCACTTGAGCCACATCTCTCTACCTCCTCAACAGAGGTCCTTTTGTTCCTTCCCTCAGAATCATGGTTGAGAGAGACGACTGTCTTCTAATAAGAGTGATACTACCTCCTTAACCTGCCTCTGTGCTATTTGGAAAAACTCTCCAGCTTTACTAACATTTTATGTTTTAAATATAGGAAGGAAAACAACTTTTATAGATATTTTTAAATAAATTGGAGTTTGAAATGAGTCGCAAGTCTTCTGTTTTGTCTTACAGTTTGACACATGAATTCTCTAGACATTTTATAAAGATTGTATAGTTTAGAAGAAATTTCATGCCTTTTCGATCTGATACCTAGCAGATGTTTAATGTAAACTTTATAAACTCTTGAATGGTATCTGTGGGCTAAATGATAGAAAGTGTTTGAGGTGCCAACTATCTGTTGTGTTGTCATGCTGGTTTCTTTTGCCACAGAAATTTTAATTCCTCCTCATGATATTTGTTGTATAGACTTGAAAGATTTCTGTTGCTTTTTTCTGTGAACTTTCCAGACAGCATCTTATACCTTGCTTTAGTTGTAGTGAACATACAGGGTGCTTTCAATGAAAGGTTGCTATCCTATTTGTACAAGGAAAATTCCTTTACTGTTTTTCTATTTATATTTTACATATATTCTATTTTTAAAATGAATTATAGCTGTATACTTCTTTCATTACCTTATCTTTTTATCTACTATGATGATCACTTTTCTGGATTTTCATTTGTATTTCCTTTGGTAGTCATTCTCAGAACACAAACAGCTTTTATACCCCACTCAGTTTTGGAAAATACTTAAAATAAAGAAATGATCTGTTAATACTTTGACAAATAAAAGTGAACAAAAATTTGACTATAGAAAAATAACAATTCCTTTATATTGTTTTGTATTTTGTGGCCTAGGTTATTTCTGAGATTAATGTAGGAAAAACCCTTAAAACTAAATTATTATTAGAGAAAGAAGTATATTTTAAAATTTTCTTTGAGGCAGTGCCATTATTTGATCTTTCTGGCATGTGAATTCTCGTCTTCTAGGAATGTATAAACTGATAAGTGAAATACTGTTAGGAATAGTCTACAGTTCATGAAAATCTTAGGAAGATTAGTGAGAATGAATTAAAAGGATACTAGAGCTTTTTACTTGCTGAGCATAAATGGCAGTAGTGAAGAATGTTAGTATGAAAACTCTTTTAAATTAAGTTGCCTGCCTTGTAATTACTGCAGATATTTAGTAATGCTTGAGAAATGTAGTTCTGCCAAGACTGAAAGTAATGTCATCAGTATGTGTTTACCAATTCTGTCAGTTGATTCTTCAGTATACTTACTTTTCCGCCCTCATTTTTACAATTGATATATGTTTCATGTTCTCCTTACCTGTAGTATTATTATTCTTTATCTATAGGATCCAGGACCACCTCCGCCTTCTCCATTATTAGGTTTGAAGCCACTGCAGTTATTAGAAGTGAAAGCAAGGGGAAGGTTTGGTTGTGTCTGGAAAGCACAGTTACTCAATGAATACGTGGCTGTCAAAATATTTCCAATACAGGTACATTTATTGGAGTTTTCTAAAAGTTTCAGTGTGTTAGCGTGAACTCCAGGAAATGGAGACAAAAGTGTTTTTTTTTTTTTTTGTTGTTGTTCTTTTCCTTTTCTTTTTTGTCCTGCTTGTTCATTTTTCTGTCTTTGTAGTGGTAAGAGGTGGCATAAAAATGGAGGGACATAGGGTGAACAAATATAGTAGTGGAACTCAGTAGAAACTGTGTTGAAAATGAACTCCTCAACTTGTGGGTGAGGACAGGAGGGAAAAACTTGGAGAGAACAAAGGAAAAGCAGTAACATTGTCCAAAAAGAAATGTAAGACCTAATCTGTGACATGGTAACCCCTGTGTACATCACTTTTATAATAGTAATTTAAAATAAATAGCAAGTTAAATTGTGTGAAGAATCTTAAAACTTAGAAAAAGGCATTTGCATATTAAGCATAAGTTAACAGTCACAAACATTTTGGTTAATGCTTCTATTGACAAGGTACAGAAATAACAGTAATGTTATAAATTAAACTGTACAAATTCTGGTTTACTTAACTAGGAAACTGAATGATTATATAACTTGCCAAAGATTAGAAGGAAAGCCAGAATTTGATCTTTGTGTTCAGAGATGTGTTCAGAGATTTGCTAACCATTATGCTGTACTGCATCCCATTTTCACTGTTCTGTCAGTGAAAAGAAACTAATTGACAAGTTCACATATAGTAGGCAAACACAAGTGAATATGTGGTGGTTTTAAAAAAGATTTTAGATACTATGTTCATCTTTGAAAAATATTTTTTTCATTTTTGACAGTCTTTTTATCTGAATTCATTTTTCAGGAAGATTATTGTGAATAATAACCCAAGTCATTTCACTCCTATGATAAAATACAGTGTAATACACCTGCAGTAACTTGTAAGCAAAATGTGTTGCCACTATACAAAAGGGCAACATTTTTTTTTATAACTTTCTATGATCATAAACTAGAAACAAAGAAAAGTGTAGAACTGTCAACAAGACCTAACAAAATCTTCTATACTTAGGTATTTGTTTTATTTTACCTAGAACTTATTTGAGTAATTGATTTACCTATATTCTTAATATTCTTTCTTTTAAAATCTAGGACAAACAGTCATGGCAAAATGAATATGAAGTCTACAGTTTGCCTGGAATGAAGCATGAGAACATATTACAGTTCATTGGTGCAGAAAAACGAGGTACCAGTGTTGATGTGGACCTTTGGCTAATCACAGCATTTCATGAGAAGGTGAAATTCTTAACACTTACATTTAGTAAATTAGAAGTGATTTACTTACCTAATGTTGATTATAAATCTCTCATGTATATTTTTTCAAGAGGCTATTATAATTAATAGTTAACATAAAATATAAATTGCTTATATAAAAATGTTTTAATTCACTTTAATAAAAGTGCTTTTTTCCTTCTAATCATTCAGGTTTTTGTCACCGATATAATTTACCTCTCTTATGAATACTTTTTATACAGTGTTCAGTATTATTTTAATCCATTTTAACTTCATGATTAGTTGTTTCAGATTGAACTTTATACCTTGAAATGCCTTTTTTTTTTCTTTTACTTTTTTTTGGTGCCAGTTATGGGGCTTGAGCTCAGGGCCTGGTGCTGTCCCTAAGCTTTTTTTGTTCAGGACTAGTGTTTTACCATTTGAGCCACAGCTTGACTTCCTGCTTTTTGGTCGTTAATTACAGATAAGAATCTCAGGGACTTTCCTCCCTCATCTGGCTTTGAACTGTGATCTTCAGATCTCAACCTCCTGAGTAGCTAAGATTACAAGTGTGAGCCATCAGTGCCTGGCTTTGAAATGCTTTAATAAGTCTAGGTTAGTGACAATGACAGAGGTAGAAATTTTATGAGTTCTAAAATTAATTCATAATTGTCAGTAAAACATGGTATTTTTTCAACTTTTAGTTTTTAAAAGTATTTTCAATGAAGTAGGATTGTTCTTTTTTTTCATGGGGGTTTGAACTCAGTACTTCATACTTGATAGGCAGATAATCTGTTTGAGTCACATCTCTAAACCACAGAAATTATATATTTTTTTTTTTTTTGGGTCCGGTCATGGGGCCTGAACTCTGGGCCTGGGCACTGTCCCTCAGCTCTTCAGCTCAAAGCTAGCACTCTACCACTTGAGCCACAGCGCCACTTCCGGCTTTTTTCTTTTTGCTTATGTGGTGCTAAGGAATCGAACCCAGGGCCTTGAGCATGCAAAGTAAGTGCTCTACCACTGAGCCACCTTCCCAGCCCCCTATATATTTTTAATATATTTTGTAATTGTTAAATGTAAGTGGCTATTGTCTCCCTTAATTTTTGACCATAAGTTTTTAGAGAAGATTCTTTACATTAGTGGTTATTTATATGTTGAAATTTTGTGGTATCCTAGTCTTTATAGTCAGTATATTTCCCTTTTTAAAACAGAATTCTAGATTTTATCAACTATTTTTTTAAGACCTTTGCTTTCCAAATGGGGGAAATTTGGTGATTTTTAATAGTCATTCAAAAATCAGTGTATTCCTTCCTTTATTAATGTGACTTGGAGAAATTTTTCGACCTCTCCAGAGATTGCTTTTAGAATATTATTATTCATTGAAAGTAAAAGCCAGATGCCAATGGCTCACACATGTAATCCTAGCTACTCAGGTAGCTGAGATCTGAGCATCACGGTTCAGACCCAACCCAGGCAGGAAAGTCCATGAGTCCATTGAACTACTAAAAGAAAAAAAAAATCTGGAAATGGAACCATGGCTCATGTGATAGAATGCTAGCCTTGACCAAAATGCTTAGGAACAGTGCCTAGGCCCTGAATTCAAGTGCCAGCACGCCACCCACACCCACACCCACACACACACACACACGGGGTGGGGAAATGAGAGAGAGAGAGAGCAGCACAAGAGAGAGAGAGGAGAGAAGGGAGATAAGGGAGAGAGAGAGAAAAAAACCAAGTAAAGATATACTGCTTTTGTAACTTATAGTAAAAAGTCTCCATATACATGTGTTGTTCAAGAGCTTAAGGCTTTTGCTTTGTCCCTCCCTTTTCTCTTTAGGGTTCACTGTCAGACTTTCTTAAGGCTAATGTGGTCTCTTGGAATGAACTATGTCATATTGCAGAAACTATGGCTAGAGGATTGGCATATTTACACGAGGATATTCCAGGCTTGAAAGATGGTCACAAACCTGCAATCTCTCACAGGTAGAGCAAAACTTCCATTTTTTTTCCCCCAGATAGTTCAGTATCTGTTCATAATTGGAGTTTTTAATCCCCCTGGGTAAAATTTATTTTTCCCCTAATTACCTAATTGTATTCTAGAAGGCAGATTATTTTAATTTTTTTAAGTTAGCTTTGAAATTGGCCAAGAATGAACATAATTAGTAAAGTTAATTATTTCCTTGTGCATAATATGTCTTATTTTGGGAAACATGCTTGAGGATGAAAGTAAATTGTCTCTTTCTAAAAGGAAAAATGTATTTGTTTTAACTCAAATCATGATTTAATTTAAAGGTGATTATGAAAAGGTACAGCATATCTATTTTAACAAGTTATACAATTTCTTAATTATATTAAGGCTGAAAATCTTATTTCTAAAGGACCATACATTATTCAGACAATTGTCTAGCAAAGAAATAGTTCCTAGCCCTAACAATTGTCATATTCTGGGAAGGAAAAATGTTTGTTCCTTCAACAGGGATTCAGTTTGCCTTGTAGTTACCATCTTTGAACTTGGGATTTAATCTATCACCTTGAATTCCATATAAAGGAGGCATTAACTGAGCACAGCAAATATTTATTTAGTTGAGTGGCACCAGATAGTTACTTAGGTTTCTGGCAAATATTACTTAAATTCACCTCAAATGGTTAAACTCTGGTATTACAAACTAAATGGCATCTACTTGGAATTGCTCCCTTTCTTTTCACCTTTCTGTATGCAGTCTGCCTTCCATATAGGGAATTATTCCTTTGGAGCTCCCAGAACCCCACCCATCCACACATTGCACTGCCCTCTAGTTATTAGGAATTGGGGGCCTCTAAAAACCTTATGAAACTTGAAACTGTTGTTTTTTTTTTGAGTATTTGTATCTATTCTTCATCCTCTATCCTAGTCTTAGATGTATATATAGTGTAACAATCAATTATGGTAGAGATATACTCAGCTAGAGTATAGTAATCTAGAATGAACCAGTTGAGGTAAGTGTGTAGAGAATATCTTAGGCTTTAGTACTGTTATACTTTTTAGAACACAAAAAAAGTAGATGGAAGTTTCTGTTTTGCTTTTCTAAAAGCAGGTAAAAGAATATAAGAACCACAATAGTAAGGACCATTCTAAAAAGTAAGTCATTATCAATAGGCTTCAATTCAGCTAATTAAACAAAACAAAAAAAACCCAAAACCTCATTTCATTGTTTTTGTTGTTGTTGGTTTTTTTTGTTTTATTTTATTTAATTTATTTATTTTTTTTGTTTTGCTGGTCCTATGGCTTGAACTAAGGGCCTGGGCTCTGTTCCTAAGCCTCTCAGTGCTCAAGGCTAGTGCTCTACCACTTGAGCAACAACACCACTTCTGTCTTTTTCTGAATAGTTCATTGGAGATAAGTCTCATGGAATTTACTGTGCGAGATAGCTTCAAGCTAGGATCCTCAGATCTCAGCCTCTTGAGTAACTAGAATTACAGTTGTAAGCTACTCATTTTGGTTTTTAAAATTTGTTTTATGGAAATTGGTAGCTACAAACACTGAAATATTATCTTAAAAGAGCAATTTTAGAGATGTATGGAAGGTGAAATGGTAGTTCTGAACTGTTTTATACATTCTTTTTTATAGTTTATGCTATGACTAGAAATTCTTCACTGTATTCTTGTGCTGGGGCAAATAGGCATTCTTTTTAAGCACTCTGTTTCCCTTTCTTTGAATTTTATATTTTTAAAGAACTTTTCTCATAGTATATTCTCCTTCCCACTTCCAAGAAAAAATTTTAAAAAATGTAACTTGTTGAAATTGAATTTCAATACTGTCTATCTTTCTATTTGAAGGGACATTAAAAGTAAAAATGTGCTGTTGAAAAACAATCTGACAGCTTGCATTGCTGACTTTGGGTTGGCATTAAAGTTTGAGGCTGGAAAATCTGCAGGTGATACCCACGGACAGGTAAGGGAGAACTATGATCAAAATAGAAGAAAAAATAAACTTGTTGCATATTTTCTTGTAAAATGGCAAGGACTGATTGATCCAAAATTTGTGATAGTGATGAAGTCAGCATCTAATTAAGAGTTCTATGCTACCTTTCAGGGGAAAGCAATACTGTAGTTAGAGCACTAGATGGTTTAGGCAAAAATTTCATAAAAGAACTCTTGGATGCTATAGGCTTCTTTTAAACAACAACACCACCAGAAACTGGCCACAGTTTTAACTTTTACCATCTGAACAGGAGTAGAAGAATAGTCATTATCTGTACAACATATTAAGATCTCCTTACTTTTATTCCACACATTTTCTCTTATTGCTTTATTTACTCTGCAATAAACTTGATGGCTTTATTCTGGATTATCTCTAAAATTCGGAGGTCTTACAAATGCCTGTGTGAGGTGTCTTAACTATAGTTAACTATAGTGTGAACAAGTAGATCTTAGCAATGATAACCTCTAATAAAGGTAAAAAGGCAAAGGTTATCTTTACATTTCATTCTTAAAACCTGTGAGGCTAGGAAAAATCATTTTTTTAAAAAAATCAAGTTTCTCCTCCCCCTTTTGGTGCTAGTCTTGGGGCTTGAATTCGGAGCCTGAGCTGTCCCTGAGCTTTTTTGATCGAAGTCTAGTGCTACCACCTGAGGCACAGCTCCACTTCCAGTATTTATTTTGTTTTTATTTGATGATTAATTAGAGATAAGAATCTCATGACTTTATTACCTAGGCTGGCTTCAAACCATGATCTTCAGATTTCAGCCTCTCTTGAGTAGCTAGAATTACAGGAATTGCAGACGTGAGCCATTGATACCCAGTTGATTACTTTTTTTTTTCTTAATAAGAACATCTGAATATTCATTCATTCATGCCACATTAACTCCCTTCTTTTTTCAGTTGGGTCACCTTATTAAGTAAAAATTGCATGGAGAACATTTTAGATGGAAAGTAGATAAACCATAATATAATGAAAGACATACTTTGGATGATATAAATTTGTTTTTAAGAGAAAAGTAGGGTGCTGGGCCTTGGTGGCTCATACCTATAATCTCAGCTACCCAGGAGGCTGAGCTCTGAGGATCATGGTTCAAAGCCAGCCCAGGCAGGCAAGTATAAGGAAAAAAAAAAAAAGCTGTGGCTCAAGTGGGAGAATGCCAGACTTGAACAAAAAAGCTTAGGGATACACCCAGGTCCTGAATTCAAGCCCTAGTATTAGCACCCCCCGGGGATGGGGGGGGGTGGGAAGAGGGTTTTTTTTTGAGAGTCACTTATAATACAGTTAAATAGGAGGAAAAATAAAAGGTATTTTTTTCTTCTGTAAAGAATTCTTATTAAATGAGGTAAAACTTGAACTTCAGAGATTTATTGATCTCTGAAGTCCTAATATTTTTTTAACATGTTATGTTTGTATGTAACTGCCTAACTTCTAGAGCTTGTAATCATCCAAGGATGGAGTTTTTAAAAATACCAGTGTCTATGTTACTCTGTAGGTCTACTATTGTTCAAATACATTGTGGTCTACCTACCAAAGTATCTTTTTTTTTTTTTTTTTTTTTTGCCAGTTCTGGGGCTTGAACTCAGGCCTGGGCACTGCCCCTGAGCTTCTTTTGCTCAAGGCTAGCACTCTACCACTTGAGCCACAGTGCCATTTCTGGCTTTTTGTGTTTATGTGGTACTGAGGAAATGAACTCAGAGCTTCATACATACTAGGCAAGCACTCTACCACTAAGCCACATTTCCAGTCCCTGACTGTCTTTTAAGTATTCATATAAGAATGTCAAGCTCCAAACAAAACTAGTTTGTACTAGCTTAGTAACCATAGTTACAGTACTAAGAAATACTAAATTATGAAGATAGATATAAAGGACTCCAAAACAGAAGAATTCATGAATATTTAATTCATAAATTTTTACACAAATAGACTTTTTTGTTTATCCATTCTTTGCTAATTCTTTTACAATACCATCAGAAGATTTTTTTTATAGAAATACACATTTCAGCAAGTGGTGATGGCTCATGCCTGTAATTCTAGCTACTTAGGAGGCTGAGATTAGAGAATTGTGAGTCAAAGCCAGCCTGGGCAGGAAAGTCTGTGAAAATATTTTCTCCATTTAATCACCATGGTTCAAGTGGTAAAGCAGTGGCCTTGAGCAAAAATGCTAAGGGCTAGCCTTAACCTTCAATTCAAGCCCGAGTGCTGACACCAACTAACTAACTAAGTAACTAACTAACTAATGAAATAGTATGTTGCTTTCTCTGTTGTTTCTTCCTTGCAAGCAATCATTTTTAAGTTTCTTGCAGTAGATCCAGAAAGAGGAGAAAAACTGTCCAGTTGCTAGTAGCCCACACCTGAAATCCTAGCTCAGGATCCTAGAGGTCAGGAGGCTGAGATCTAAGCATCACAGTTTATAGCCAGCCCAGGCAGGGTTTACAGCCTCTTATCTACAATTAATCAACCAAAGGGGGATCAATATTGGAAATGGAGCTGTGGCTCAAGTGGTAGAGTGCTGTACTTGAATACAAAAGAGGTAGCTCAACACAAGATCTGGGCACTGCCCCTGAGCTTCTTTTGCTCAAGGCTAGCACTCTCCACTTGAGCCACAGCTCCTGTTCTGTTTTTTGTTTTTTTTTTTGAGTGGTTTTTGGAGATGAACACATTTCATGGACCTTCCTGCCCTAATTGGCTTTGAACTGTGATCCTCAGATCTCAGCCTCCTCAGAAGTTAGGATTGCAAGCATTAACCACTAGCACCCAGCGATATGTAAATTTTTAAGTATATCCAGAAATATGTATATACACACCCTATAATCTCGGGCTCACAGTTCATCATGATTTGATTAGACCACAGTTTTGTTTTTATGAAATTATAAAGTTTTAGTTCATCAAATTAATAAATGAGTACTGTTTGCTTTTTCAAAATCTTTTTTTCAGGTTGGTACCCGGAGATATATGGCTCCAGAGGTATTAGAGGGTGCTATAAACTTCCAAAGGGATGCATTTTTGAGGATAGATATGTACGCCATGGGATTAGTTCTGTGGGAACTGGCTTCTCGCTGTACTGCTGCAGATGGTAAGGGAAAAAGTATTTTTTAGAATACATATGCCACATTTATGAAAAGGGATGATTACTTAGATGGTAATAAAGTATAATTTCTTTTTAATGGACTATTAAGAGATTTTAGAAAATTCACAAGGTAGAGGAGCATAAAGGAAAGGAACTAGACATATGTTGATAATTTACCATTAGATGGTTTATTGGACACTATATATCCCTTCAGCTTATTTTCTGGAGGTATTTTGGAGGTACTTGTTTTATAGATGAAGAAACTGAAACTCAAGAGAAATTAAGTAGCTTGTCTCAACATTTTGTCCCTCTGATCGGTGTGGAGGGAAAGGGCTGCATCTTCACTAGGATTTTCCTGCAACCTAGATTCCCAAGTCATCTCTTTTGGTGAGAGATGTCTGTAGAGAAGGAGGGATTTTGATTCTCAGAACATTCTGGCACTTGCCAGCATATGTACTTTATAACCAGGTTAAACTTCATCTTGTCCCCTAAGACACAGAACTGTGAACATGTTTTTTAATATATCACAGGTTAAATTCTGCTCTTTAAAGTCTGACTGTATTATGATTAAGTTGTTAAAGTATGTTCTTATTATTGAAATTCTTGTCCAAATCATGTAAATAATTGAATGGCTGTATAACTATATGCCAAATTCCCAGTGTGACAAAACTATAGTTGTCTAAGTACTCTGTCTTTAGAACTTCTTTAAAATGTTTGTTTTATTCAAATAAATACTGATTACTAAATTCTCACACAAATATAAATGATCTTTACATGTTTTTCTATTATAATTCGTAATAGCCTAAAAGCTTCCTCCAATTATAGACTGTAAGAGAATATATTTAATATTTTAAAAAGTATAAGGATTTAAATTATGCTGCTAAGAATCTTACTTTTTTGCGTACTGTAAAAGATTCTCTATGGGACAGATTACCTCTGTAATATGCAATTTAATTTTAAGCTCAATTTAATTAAAATGGAATTTAGTAAATGTTCAGAAATAGGCAGCCATTCATTCTTCCAGGTTGGAAGCCTAAGAATTGTTGAAACAGCCTGGGAATTTTTTAAGTCTCGAGGAAGATGAGTAACCTGTTCAATGCATATTGACTTTAAAAGTAAAGAAGTTTTAAATTTATTTTGTGCATTTATTGAAACAGTAGGTCAGATGGTGAATGTGAATTATCTGGCTCAATGCCTGGTACTTAGGTATTAGTAACTTTCTGGATAAATAAATGGAAAGGAGTGTTAGAGAAGTCTAGAGATTGCTTCGTTGGGAAAGGAATTACTTGGGAAATTGGAAAAAGGAATAGATGCAGACTTTTCTTAAATGCCTGGTATATGCTATGTAGAAATTGGGGCCAACGGGTCAATGTGGACAATACTGCTAAAGTGAGAACTCTTGAATTTGTTTATGTCTAATTGCTGATGGTTAAATTCAGTGATTCTTGAAGTTGAATGTTTCATCACACTCTTGGGAATCCTAGTTACAACTCCAATTCTGACTTAGTCATCTGGGTTGAGGCCCAGGAGACTGTCTTTTTACAGACTACCAGTTGGTATCAATGCCATTGACTTGTGAAATACAGAGTTTGAGTAGATATTTTAGAATGTCAGTACTCTGAGCAGACTGCCCAGCTATCAAGGATTTCTACATTTGTATAGAGTGAGTTAATGAGTCCTTCAGGATTCATTATATTCTACCCAGAAGTGTTTGGTGCAGAAATTTCAAGATCTTACACAAGACTATACACAGAGCTCAATAAAATTTCTCAGGACTGATTTGTTTCTTTCAAAGGGAGAAAATATAGTAAATAAAAACATGGACTTTAGAGTGAGAGATACGGGTTCAAATTTCATGTCTACTGTATAACAGCTGTGTGCACTTGTGCACAATTTTGTAATTTCATGAGCTTATTTTCAAAATGGAGGCAATACCACCTTTATGAAGATAAATGATAGCAAATATGTAAAGTTCCTGAGACTTAAGTACTTACTAAATGCTAATTTCTTAAAGATATTTTCCCATATTTCCTAAGGAGGTATGAGTAAAATAGAATTATTTATGTTATTGAATAAATGTTGTGAGGACACATTCTTGATGGGAAATCTTTTAGCACTTATCAGGGAGGATGGAGAAGAGGTATGACTAATTCTTTGTAGGGAGCAGGTTTGGAGTTTCAGTGTGTTACAGAATAAAGATGGTTTTAACAGGTTGAACCCAAAGTCTTCAAGATGGAAACACAGCTGTTAACATTCTGCTTTGGATTGCAAGGACTAGGTTTCTTAAAGGATATTCTTGATTTGCAAGTATGTTCTCTGTCTTGTACACTGATGAATACTTTGATGAATATAGACTTTCTTGAAATAGGTAAAAAAGTATTTTTTACCGAGGTTTGGTGTTGTACACCTGTAATTTCAACAGGAAGGCTGAGGCAAGAGGATGGAGAGCTCAAGGGCCAGCTGGGGTTATCGAGCGAGACCCCGTCCAAAACAAGTAAACCTAAATAATGTTTAATAGTGCTACCTGCCAAATCATGGACTTTTCATTATAAATTTTATGAGTTTGGACACAGTGGTATAAGTACAGTTGAGTCTTATTTGTCTCCTATCCTTATAGCATGTAGCGTTGGAAAAAGGTGATAGAAGATATATTTTAGAAAGCTTGTACCAGTTGGAAGATTTTAATTAAAAATGAATGTTTTTGTGTTTTACATTTCAGGACCTGTAGATGAGTACATGTTGCCATTTGAGGAGGAAATTGGCCAGCATCCATCACTTGAAGACATGCAGGAAGTTGTTGTGCATAAAAAAAAGAGGCCTGTTTTAAGAGATTATTGGCAGAAACATGCTGTAAGTCATGTAGTTAACTTTTCATTTGAAATTCCAATAAAATATCTTTCAGAGAATGATTTATTCTTTGCACATTTTTATTCTAAGAGGAAGGTACTCTTAACACCATATATTCTGTGCTAAAGTTTTAAAGAGAGCAGCCTTAGGGCTTTGTCTATATACTCACTAGGGAGATTGTGAAGTTATGGGGTCTTATACAGCTCTTAAATCTACCTCAATGGTTTAGTGCAGATGAGTCTATTTGGATAGCTTCCTAGAAAAATGATTGCCTGGCTCCCGAATCTGTAGACAGCTAGGTAGGCTTCTAGCATGATACCATTTTATTAAACACCACATTTTCTCCTCTTCATGGGAGCTTGCTTTTAATACTTTGTGTTAGCTTAGAAGACGATGGAGTTCTTTAGAATACTTTAGGCAGAAAATTGTGTAGTATACTATTACTGTTTCGGTCTAAATATAACAAGAAAATGAATAAAGCTAGGTAGAGAATTTTCAAGGATGGCCCTTCCAAATCTTGTATATTACTGTAAGATAAAAATCCTAATATTAACTAAGAAAATAATAAATATTTTGATATCACCCCCACTAGCTTTGGTTTTGAATCCATAAAAATAATACTGGAATAGTCTTTATAAATAATGTGGATAGGCATTTTTGGAAATAAATTACTATTATGAAGAAAGTTAAAATAGGTTCTATTGTAGGGGAGGGTGAGTGAGGATAAATATGGTCAAATAATTTATTTATTTATATATGTGAAAAAGTAACAATGAAACCTGAATTCCTTTATAAAGGTTAAAGGGAGCATGATAGAAGGGGGAGAGTTTGATCAGTATACATTTGTATGTATGTATGGAAATGTCATAATTAAATCTTACATAGTAAAACTAAATGGTTTCTGTGCTTCATGATATTGATAATCAATAAAAGTCAATGTGGTAAAATGATGTCAAATTTTGATAATCTTGAAACTTCTTTGGCCCACAAAAGTAGCCATTTTTTTAATGAATTTTTTTACTCTTTCATCATAGGAAACCAAAATTACTGTCATATTTGACTATGTTTTTCTCTTCTTAGGGAATGGCAATGCTTTGTGAAACAATAGAAGAATGTTGGGATCACGATGCAGAAGCCAGGTTATCAGCTGGATGTGTAGGTGAAAGAATTACCCAGATGCAAAGACTAACAAATATCATTACCACAGAGGACATTGTAACAGTAGTCACAATGGTGACAAACGTTGACTTTCCTCCCAAAGAATCTAGTCTATGATGGTTGCACCATCCATACACACTGAGAAGTGGGACTGTGAACTGCTGTGAGCTGCTAAGCTAACAAAACTGCTTACAGTTTATTTTCTGTGTGAAACAAGTAGGATGCCTCCTGGAAACTTAAGCCAAGCAGCCCTTTGTTGAAAAAGGCTCTGGGAGACTCACTGCGTTGCTTGCAGCACAGATGTGAAGGACATGAGATTAAAAGTTGTAAACTCTATAAAGAAACTTTTGAAAAAAATGTACATGAAGAATGTGCCCTCTCCAAATCAAGGATCTTTTGGACATGGCTAATCAAGTGTTTGAAAACTGACATCAGATTTCTTGTCTGTCAGAAGACGACACTAATTCCTTAAATGAACTACTGCTATTTTTTTTAAATCAAGAACTTTTCATTTCAGATTTTAAAAAAAGGGTAACTTGTTTTTATTGCATTTGCTGTTGTTGTTTCTATAAATGACTATTGTAATGCCAATATGACACAGCTTGTGAATGTTTAGTGTGCTGCTGTTCTGTGTACATAAACAAAGTCATCAAAGTGGGGTACATAAAGAGGCTTCCAAGCATTACTTTTAACCTCCCTTTCAACAAGGTATACCTCAGTTCCACGGTTGCTAAATTATAAAATTGAAAACACTAACAAAATTTGAATAAATTGATCCATGTTTTATAACAAGCTATTACAAATTCACTGTGTTATTTAAGAAAAAAAAAAGGTAAGCTATGCTTCGTGCCAATAGTAAGTGGCCATTTGTAAAGCAGTGTTTTAGCTTTTCTTGTGCTGGCTTTAGGAGAAAAAAGTGCTGTATTTTGAAATGGAAAAACAAAAAGGTGAAATTTCCTTTCTTCCCATATGTTAAAGCTTCATCTTATATTCAGTTCCAGGTCCCAAAATATTGCATACTTACCTAAGTGGTTTAAAAATATTTTTTTTTGAAGGTGTGCTGTGTTTGGGGAATATTTGAAAATTTAAAGCATGTTTAAAAGTTTTTTTAAAGTGAGCTGTGACACTGGAAAGCTCTTCATTTTACCTTTTAAGATATTTTTTTTCCTATTTATATATGTGAAATTGTACTGTTTTTATTTTCATTAAACAGTGTGTGGGACATTATCACTGTTTTAGGAACACCTCAGGAAGTGTCATTACCCAGAATCCCTCATTCTGCTTTGAGATTTGTAACTTTATCATTATACTTCTGCTTGGTGCCATCTTGTCAGAGTAATATTTGATGTCTGTGATACGTAAAGAATTATGATAAAGATATTAACCTTTAAGCACAGATTTCAGATGTTACTGCTTTAAAATAAATCAGGGATAACAAGTTGAACTTATGACTTAAAATATGCAATGACATTTAGAGGTAATCGGTGTTGATGTAGGTAACATAGCCTAGCATTCTCCCCAAAATTGCTTTCACAACTAATTCTGACATTAAGTTAGGATAGTTCATGCCTTATCCTTGCTAAGAAATGGAATTGATGGTAGGCAGGTGCCAAAACAGATTTTTAAAACTATTATGATTGGGTTCTTCCTCAAATTTACACAGGTCCTAGAAAAAAAACATTAATTTCCTCAATATCTGGAATAATCAACAAGTCAGTATTATGCTATGTACTTTTTGTCATATCAATATAAAATTCATACATTAATTTTCATAATTTTTTTACATGTCACTATTATGAGCTCACTGTGAATGTGTTGTCTTCAAATGGTTAAAAACCAGTACACTACATTTTACATATTACATGCACTTAAATCTCTGGGAAGAAAAATGACTTTATTTATAAACAACATGTAAGTCAGCAGACTCTAAGCAGGGAGGGAAAGGAGAATATATTTATCTGTGTGCCACACACTCTTCAAAAGCATTTGTTCTTCGTGTATGTACCCAAGGTCTCATTATATTAAGATTTTCCATTACAGTGTTTACTACTTTTAGTTCAGAAAGTACTTGGCCTCTCAATTTCTTGATAAGGGTTTGCTTCCATTTAGAAACTAATCGAGGGAAAAAATATAATGTGCATATAAAGAAATTAGTAACCGTATAAAGATAAATTTCTGTCCATTGTAAAACCCTTTTTTAAAAAGATAAGGAATATCATAATGAATGTTTGGCTTAGAGTACTACAGATAAATTTTATTAAATCAGTTATTTACAATATACAATGTTTTGTCTTCGTGATAGAGGAAGTTTTTAGAAATCTTGGGTATTGTACTTAATTCTAATTTTAAAACTTGTATCTTTTTGAGAACTGCATTAGTGGAAAAACTTTTATAATCAGTAAAATAAGAATGTTCCAGTGACTACTTGTCCTTATACTTAGTCTTGTTAAAACTTTATTTTGCAGGGCATTTTAGTGTTTGGTTTACAGTCAGTGCAGAGTGGGCAAGATAACAAAAAATTTATGCTAAGGATACTGGAAAAAAGAAAATGAGAAAAAAAAAACCCAGTTATTTCTTTCTTTGGGGACAAAAATGAAACACCCCAATAACTTTTCCTCGTGTATGGTGCTCCTCATGACTTGTCTTATACTTTGCCTTTCTGATACTGCTGCTCTAACTCATAGTTTTTACTTTGCCCAATCTCCTGTGTAAGAAATGTTTTAAGATCAGCTGCCATAGGATTGATGGTTAACCAGTGTTTGGCTTTATTTGAAGTCTATGCCCTGAACAGATCTTGTATGTATTATATGCTAGGAAGTTTTTAGCATGTGATGTGTGATTCTTGTTTGAATGTTTATTACAGGTACCTTGTGAATTCCAGAACAGAGACTGTGCCTCACAATGATTGGTCCCATGAATTTCCACTCTTTCATGGTGGTTTTGAAAATATAATCAGGAAAAAAAAATCCATCACCTTTGGAATTTAAAGATGGACTCATATGCCATGCAAAAAAAAGAAAAAAAATATCTCTCACCCCTAAGTAACATCCCCATTAAGTAAAATGTTGGGGGGAAAAAAAAACCACTGGCCAAATGGTAATTTAGTGGAAAAGGTGATTTTTCTTTTAAAGCTTTTATCATAGGTCTTCTTTAAAAAAAAAGTACATTTTTGGAACATTTGGTATAATGTGCACAAAATCATTTAAAATTTATGGGCAAAATGATACAAGTAGCATCTTGATTGACCATTATTTACCTCAGATATTCAACCAGCAGTGCGTTTTTAATGCAGTCTCAACCCATATCCTATTTGTTACCTCTCAAAATTTAGGCAAGCAATTATTTTAGCTTTACTCTGTATTTCTTGTCAGTGTTTGGGCACAGATTGTTGTACTACTGTCAAATTGTACTTGCTATTTTTTTCCTGCAAGTATTTAACAGAAAGATTAAAAAATTAAAAAAAAATAATTTTTCCCCAAACCCCACCTTGGAAAAGTGATTGTTAAATATTGTACAAATAAAATGTATGCTATCCCCATTCTATCCCCAAGTTAAATAAAAAACAATGAAAGATATGATTTGCATATGCAGTTTTTCTTTAGCTATGTTCTTTAAGAGAGGAATATGAGTTATAATTTATAGTGAAGCTTTTGCTTTGAGATTTACAAGAATTGGGGATATTGGTGAAAACCTGGGCTGTTCATTATTTACAGCATTTCAATCCTTTGTTGTCTAGCAGATTTTATTCCCACCTACGTTGGTCTTGGCTACTATTAGAAATTGGGAGGATTATTGGCATATAGTGCATGCCAATGGATTTTTTTTCAGGATAAAGGTGAACAAAAGTTTTTTTTCAAAGAACATGCACTGCCTTATAAACAAGTGAAAAAGCAAAACTGAGCAGAATGTATATGAATTCTACAGAAAGTCATTTTCCATAGCGTGTTCTTCAAAGCTTCTTAAAGAAGCTAATAGATTCTGTTTTCAAAAATAGGAATCACTATGATACAGTAAGTTTGGTCAACACATTTTAATTTCTTAGAGCCATGTGCATGCATGTGAACAAGAGGCCTTTAAGCAAGTTTGTGTGGGTGTGCTACATGAGGAAACATCAGTTAACACTGCATTGAAATCCCTCTGCATCCCTCTGCATTGAGATGTAAGCATAACATTTTCACCTGTATGACCTTGGCTAACTTTTTTTTTTTTTTCAGATTTGCTTTATCTTGCTTTACCTCCATCATTGAAAATGAAAACTCACCTTGCCCTCCATCATTGAAAATGAAAACTCACCTTGCCTCTTAGTTTTCCATACTTGTTTGGTGGTCATCTTCTTAGCTTGTAAGTATCTTAACCTAGTAATAATTTGTAATACTTATATCATTTTATTAGGCCCTTCCACTGAAGACAGATGGTACTTCTCCTAACATTAGTACTTAAAGGAAAGTTACACCTTGAGTATAAAATTGATTTCAGACATGGTAGCAATATCACCATATTAAGTGGCTTAATAGCTGCTAAAATGTGTGTATTATGGCATAGAACCAGAATAAAAGCTCTACCCTTAAAACACATTGCTGAACAATAAATAAATGATCTGAGGCTTTGAGGGCTGAACATTTTTGTGGGAAAGACTACACAAAGAATAGTTACAGAAGTGCTACATGTCCATAAATTTTATATACTAGTCCATATCCAAAAATTTTTAAAAGTCAAAATTGTTCCTTGGAGCAATACTTGGGGCCTTGAACTTAGGCCTGCTCCCATGCTGTAGAGCTTTACTTTTACTTTATTTTTACTTAAATAAACCTATGCTTTTCTCATTAAGTAATTTTTTTAATAACTTTGGTAAGTTTTTAATAGCAGGGGCTTTTCTGTCAGTCAAACCTGAGTTGAGTTCCTGGGTCTGTCAGTTCCTCCCAACATATGTAGTTCTGGACACTGCCATTATTGTGGTGGTTTCCTAATTTCTAACAGCACCTAAACCCCACAGGACTAATGACCATTAAATTGACTAAAAATTACGAAAGGATAGGGACAACATACATAATCAAATGCTTGAACTAATAAAGTCACTATCACTAGTACTTACTTAGTACTTACTAAGTTTCATTTGAACCTGCGTTAGTTCATTGCTTCCTACTTCTCTCATAGGAAATTACTTCTTGAAACACTCAGCTACAACTACCAACCGCCATTATTTGTGGGAGTTGTTTTCCTACTATCACTAAGATAAATGTTAAAAATTCTACAGTAGTCTCTAGAATCTACGAAAAAACAATTCTACAGAGGATTCTAAGGTAGACTGGCATATTTTGAGAAATCTAGAAGAGGTTTACGATCCTTGTTTTTTCATGTTATTATCTTCTGGCTAAGCTGATCAGACTTAGATCTGGATAGAATCCAAAATTTTCATATGTATTGGGAAACAGGCAACAGCAACAGTACCCTTATTGAAATCAAAAGATTACTTATTAGCCTTCAAATTCCACCATTTATATACTGCTTACTTAAATGTAAAAAAGAAGTATGTATTTGTCAAATAAAGCATGTAATCCAGTTCCTAAAACAGTCATATTTTATTCATTTGAACTGCTACAGAGAGCACAATCTAAACCAACCACTGGAATTACAAATCACATAACTGTTCATGTTTTAAGGAATGGCCAACATGTACAGCAATTTCCCATAAATACAAACTGTTTATAAATATAAAGGAATGTATTAACATATCTTGTTAAAGGTTAATAACTTAAAGCTCTTCAGCAAAGAATGCCTGAAATGCCAAAACTGAAATCACTGGTTATGTTTATAGCCAGCTTAGTGAAGAAGTTGCCCACTGCCTGACATCCGTAGGACAGTTGGGGTATTTCTGCAGCGCATTCATAATTTGAGTATTATCCAAAAGTAGTTTCATCAGCTGGTACTCTCTCTGTGAATTTACTGAAGTTCTTTCCATGGGCTTTATTAATTCTAATTGCTGTAAGTGTTCAAAAGCCTGCAAGATTGAAGAAAAAGTTTAGGCTGAATAGGGGAAAACCCACCAGAAAATAGGATCTTGGTTAATTGTACAGCAGACTGCCAGAAAAGACATAAAAAAGTATGTTTAAAAATATGTGATTGAAATCAACACAATTATGAAACAACTTGCAGTGTTACAACACCTGCCTAGCATGTACAAGGCAAGGGTTCCCTGGGACCACAAAAAAAATTCAAAACCAAAAAACCTCCCCACCAACCAAGTAACTAACTCTCCCATCCCCCTCCAGCTCTGCCCACCCACAACTCTCATGAACTGATAAAAATTCACTGTCAGCTAAGTGTCAATGCAATTACCTGTTCCCGTACTGTTGAGTGGAAAGACGGCAAGTACTAAATTTTCATAATATAGGTTCATTTCTGACCTCATTCTATATCATGGTTCCTGCTGCATTTTTTTGCTTTTGAACCTGAAGACTAAATGGGTCCTGTGCATACTAAGCACCAACTCTACCACTAAGCTACAATCTTAACCCTTCCTAGAGCACTAAAGCAGTTTGTGTGTTAAGTATGTATGTGTGTGTACTCCAGTAATGGGGCTTGAAGTCAGAGCCTTCTGCTTTTTTTTTCTCCTCTCTCACTTTGTTTTTTTATTCCAAGACTAGTGCTCTCTACCACTTAAGCCACAGCAACACTTCGAGCTTTTTTTGTTGGTTAATGGGAGGTAAGAGTCTCTTGGATTAGTCCGTCTATGCTGGCTTCCATCCTCTCTCAAACCTCAGATCTCAGCCTCTTGAGCTGCTAGGATTTTAAGTGTGATCCACCAGCAGCAGCCAGGCTAAAACAGCATTTTTTATTAACATGGTTCTCTAAAATCTAAGAATCTGGGAGTGTAGCTGTGGTTCAAATTAGTAAAACACTAGCCTTGAGCAAAAGAGCTCAGGGGCAGCATCGAGGCCCTGAGTTCAAGCCCCATAACAGACCAAAAAAACCCACTAACAATCTGCTGAGATTTTCTGATTAGCTAGGCTACTGAAATCTACATTTGAATTGTTTCTACTTTTAAGGTTTTGCTGTCTAAAGTTTAACACAGCTGTAACAAAAAGTGAGACAGAAAAGTCCCCGAATAGCCTTTACAGTGGAAGTGATAAGGGCTATGAGAGTAGGTAAGTTCTTAAAAAGAAGGTTGTGACCAACACTGTCACAGTTTACCATCAAGTCTGTTTATCATACACACTTGTAACACAGACCTTTACGGTTTGCTTCTTCCTACCTCTATTCTTAATATATTATTGTCTTTAATATTGTTGTAGGTATGTTATTAAGGTATAACAAAAAATTAAATTACAACACACTAATTTATATTCCTAAACTAGATTCTTGAACATTGTATTCTTACAGCAAATTGTGAAATTCTATAGGAATATATTCAATATGTAGTATGAAAATACTGATACAAACAGACAGGCTAAGCTCAGATACCACTGACTAATGCAAATAAGAAAATATTGGATGTTGCAGGTACTGAGGTACAACCTTATTTAAAATACACAAGTGATTAGCTGGAAATTACACACAAGAATTGAAATGCTAAGCATCCTATCCACTTCACTGACATCGACAATTCATGACAGTACCAGACAGGAAAATACAACCTCCAGTAGGGTAAAGGCTTTCCATGCTGCTCTGAGGCAACAGCACTGTTCTATATTTAATTAAAAATAGCTTAAGAAATAAAACTATAGCTGGAAGGGCCTAATAGGAACACCAAAATATTACAAGTCTTCTGATTAAAACAGAAAAGATGAGCCAGGTGGGAGTACAACATATATATGTAATCTTAGCTACTTGGGAGGCTGAAATAAGGAGGGTCATGGTTTGAGGCAAGCCTGTGCAAAAAGTTTGGAAGAGCTCCTTCATGGCTAGATGCAGTGGTGCGTGCTCGTCATTCTAGCTTTGTGCGAAGCACAAACAGGAAAGCTGAAGTCCAGGCATGTGGTTTGCCATGAAGTTAGATTCTATCTAATATAACCACTCTGGAAAGCAGTTTGGAGGTTCCTCAGAAAACTAAACATAGACATACCCTATGACCCCACCATACCATTCCTAGGTATTTACCCTGAGTAACAAGAATTAGGATATGACAAGGACACATGCGTTTCCATGTTCATTGCTGCACTGTTCACAATAGTCAAGATAAAGAAACAACCCAGATGCCCCACTACTACAGATGAATGGATCCAAAAATTGTGGCACTTACATACAATGGAATTCTATACAGCCATTAGAAGGGACAAAATAATGGCATTCACAGAGAAATGGATGGAACTAGAACAAATCACGTTGAGCAAGGTAAGCCAAGATCAGAAAGACAAATGGCACATGGTCTCCCTGATTATTTGGATGTTAGATTCAAAAACGCAACAAGATGCAACAAACTATACAGGAGTCAAGATACCTATATTCAGTAAAACCAAAAGAAGTCAGTCTTGGAAGAAATTGTAATAATACCCAAGCACCTCTTCATATGTGCATCAAAGAAAAGAACCTACAAGACTAGGAAGTAAAGGATTTCATTTTAATTTGTCTTTTTTTTTTTTTTGTAGTCATGGGGGTTGAACTCTGGGCCTGGGCAGTGTCCCTGAGCTCTTCAGCTCAAGGTGAGCACTCTACAACTTGAACCACAGCACCACTTCCAGTTTTCTGGTTGTTAAGTGGAGATAAGAGTCTCACAGACTTTCCTGTCCGGGCTGGCTTTGAATCTTAACTCTCAGATCTCAGCCTCCTGAGTAGCTAGGATTATAGGTGTGAGCCACCGGAGCCTGGCTTGTCTTATTTTTGGATGACTCCATATTCTTTACCTCATATTTGAGGTTGGGAGGAGCAATCAGTGGAAAGAGAGTGGAAAAAATACAGCAGAGGGGTCCAATAGCTGTACAGGACATTGATAAAACTGAACTAAGCAACTCAATGGTGGTGACAGGAGAGAGGGAATGAGAGAGAAGGAAGGAACAATTGCTACTAAGCAAAAGGAAATAAAAGTCCCTAACACCTAATTTGGAAGAAATAGCCTTATTGTTAAAGTTTGTACAGTTCATAAACTCTGTGGATTAAGATGATGATTATAACTATGAAGGTTAAAATGTGTTTATGACGTAAGTATAACCATGCCACAGTACTGTGAAACATACATAGTTGCTTAAACTCAATAAAGAAATATTTGGAGAAAACAAACTGTCCCCCCCCCAAAAAAAAAACTAGATTACAAAAGGGCTCAGTTGTAGAGCACCTGACTAGCAAGTACAGGACTTAAGAGTTCAAACTCTACCCAGTGCTACCAAAAAAATAAAAGAAAATATCATTGAGAATGTAGTGTCCATAGTGGGCAATCAAACATTCCAAATGCGTGACATAATTTTTAATTTTATATAATATTAATTGAATTTAAATTCAATGTTTAGATATCTAATTTTCTAGTTCAACTATAAAACTATGGAATAATTTCAAAATGTGGTATTTACCTTTTTAGCTATAAGTTTAATGACTAGAGAATAACAACTTCTAAAAAGTATTTAGTAAAGTGGAATAAGTTAGGCTTACTACTTGGCAACACATACCAAATTTATTTTTAATTTTTAAATTATGTTTAAGTAGCTGTACAAAGGAGGTGCCATTAGCAAAGCAGTTTATGAATGCAATGTATATCAATCAGGGTCACTCTGACATTCTCATTCTGACTTAATTTTGTGATACATAGATAATGAAGTCTTGACTACATCCTCCCTAGCTATTTCCTCTTCATTCATTTATCACTATCCCTTTGTCCCCATGCACCCTTGCATGTACCCATTTCTTGGTGATGATTTTGTTGGGCTTTGATCTCCTTCTTTCTAAAAAATTATAGTATTTCAGTTCTCTAGAGTCTATTGCATTTCAGTTAATTCATTTGTAAATATCTGCATACAATATAATGCATTTATATACAGATTTATAGATACATTCTATTTACCACAAATGAGGGAAACTATGCAACCTTTAATTCTCTGGGGCTGGCTTATTTCTCTTAATATAATTTTTCCAAGTATTCCCATTTCCTTATGGATGGTAAAATATCATTCTTTCTAATTCCAAATTGAAAAGATACAAAGAAAATATGAAAATACTTCCAACAATTTTCTACTTTAGATTAGATTTTGTAGTTTTGATATATTCAGCTAAAGTTATCTTTAGTGATTTCACCTTTTAAAATTTCCTATGATTATTTTAAAATTAAACTGCACAATATGGTTCACATTATTCCCCTAATAGGCAAAGTTTACCTAAGACAAAGCTCTCATATTTTAAATGCATGCCTCCCATAAATAGCATTTTTCTCTAGGGTCTAATCAAGCTAATGAGATTTAGTCCACAAGTTTCTTACTGATTCTCTACATTTTTATCTCCTTTCACTGCTAGATTATAAAGTCAACTCTTGATTGGAAAGGGATAAGGAATATTCCATGTGTTTGATAGTCTACACCAATAATTCATTTGCAGGATACAAGTGCTAACAACAGACAGCAGAGGGCAGTATAGCACCACAAACTGTAAAACTGCCTTGAGAAATAGTCATATCCTTTCACTTTTAGATCATTTTTGTCTGGAAAAATTCCTATGGCAAATGCCTTGTTAAAAACTTACAAAGTGCAACCTTTATTCTTCAATTGAACTTGAAAATATGCTTTTCTGAAGGAAAAAAAAAACAGAACAAAGCCTAAATCTTACCTTCATTACAACAGGTTTCTCAAAATTATAAACAGAATGGGCCTTTCTTTGAACAAATTTCTGAAATTCTGGAGAATAAGCAATGACAACATTAGTACACTGAAGCAAGAAGCAAGTAAAAGTCAGAAATTAGTAAATTATGATCTTACCATTATAGACCATCTGAAAATTAAAAGGCTCCTCTTCATAGATGTCATTTAAATGTTTCATTGCTATTATAAGACATATTTCCAAGACTGATAAACCTAGAGAAAAGAAAGAACAACTATGAGTTGTTTAAACAGCAAATATAGTAAAATAGGCCTTTAAGCAGCCAATATAGGGAAAGATCATGGTTTTGAGGAGGGTTAAGATTCTTGTATTCAACTGTGTTTTAGTCACCATTTTCTTTATAAACTTGTCACTTAATTTTGGGTTTAATTGTTCAAACCTGCAAAATAAGAATCTTTAAAAATTTATAGAGGTGTTACAAGGATTAGAGAATATCAAGCACTTACTTTATGGCCCACAACAGAAATAAATAGAAACTGCAAATATTGTATGATTTTAAATCATACAGGGCTGAATGGCAATTTATTCACAAATCCCCTAAACATCTGGACATCATCAAAAACTGCAACCGTTTTTTTTTTCTGATGAAAAAATTATTCATTATTCCTTTAATTTCAAAGTGATAGTGAACCTACAAATGACTAAGAAAGCCAGTGAATGCTTTTCAGTAGCACTTGGTACAATGAGAAAGTCAGTAGATATCTTATCTGGATTTCCAAGGTCAATGGAAAGCAGTGTCATGTTTCACTTGAAATAAGAGTGGCAGGAATACCAATATGAAAAGTACTGATTAGTCTATATGAACGAAGATGTATTTTGTGTGTGTATAATATATATATATATATATATATATATATATATATATATATATATACATAAAGCACCACACTCAATATTAACTATAATTTTGACCATAAAACACAAAATTAAGAAATTATTAGACCAGATTTCTCACCATGCACAATATTTGCTTTAGAATCCATGCTACACAGCTGGTTTGCTTCCATCAGATCTGCTGAAGTCATAAATGGATGTGATGCTGTTATTCGATGTAAAGCCAGCATCTAAAGAAATGTCAATTAGAAGAATTAATTAGAATGCTTAGTAAAATTAATTTGTATATTTATTCTTATAAGAGATTAATATTAATGTATTGGGAAAGGTATTCTCAGATTTAGTTCTCTTAAAATATAGTGTCTCTCAGGTGGGCACTGGTGTCTTAGGCCTGTAATCCTCGCTACTCAGGAGGCTGAGATCTGAAGATCATGGTTTGAGGCCAGCCAGGGCAGGAAAGTCTGTGAGACTGTTATCTCCAATTAACCTCTGAAAAAGCAGATGTGGTACTGTAGAGCTCAAGGACAGTGTTCAGGCTCTAAGTTCAAGCCCCATGGACCCTGGGGGGTCAACTCCCCCAAAAGTACCCACAACTGACCCCCCTCTGCCAAAAAAAAAAAAAGACCAAGTGTATTCACTCAACTTAAAATGATATGAAAGCTATATATGAAAACTACCATTTAAGGAGCAAGAAATATTTCCATTTCTCCACATTATAACTTTAGTATACAAAAATAAATCCTTGCTAAAACTTAAGGATAAAATATAAATTGTATTTTAGGAATATACATAATATTTTATGTTTTCATGTATCAGTTAAAAATACATTTAATTTAAAAATACAAACCAATAGCATGTGTAATGACCGCAGGTTTTTGCTGACATTGAACTGCTTCTGTAGAACTTCTTGCACACTTCTATCTTCTGAGAGACGCTAAGGAAAAAAAAAAGTATTACTTAGGACACGTCCTAAAATGAGCTAGTTATTTATTGATTGTGAAAAAGAGTGAAAAAAATAATTTAAGGAAAAATGCAATTCAATATCTAAATATAATTTTATGCTTCTGGATGGTATGCTTTATTAACTATACTTTATTATCTAGTATTTACATATTATTAAATCAATAAATTAAATTTGTACAATAAAATCAAAACCAAATTAACCGTCAACTAATTTCCTCATCATTTTAAGTTACTTTCAATGTTGCCAGGCACTGGTGGTTCTGAAAAGTAATCCTAGATACTCAGGTGGCTGAGATCAGAGGATCACAGTTCAGAGCCAGCCCAAACAGAAAGTCCATGAAACTCATCACCAATTAACCAACATGGGCCAAAAGTAGAGGTGTGGCTCAAGTTGCTGAATGGCAGCCTTGAGTGAAAAAGCTAATGGACAACACCTAGACTCTGAATACTGGTGCAATAACTAGTATTTAAAAAACTTCTTGCTATCTCTAAATTTCCAATTTAAGAAGGAAATATAGTCGTAACAGTGGGATGCAAAAATGCAGAACAAAGCACAACAAAGAATAAGAGTTGCTAGACTCGGAAAAAATGAGTTAAAGTACTGTAAGAATGCTTACACAGGCCAGGTGCCAGTGGCTCATGCCTATAATCCTAGCTACTAAGAAGGCTGAGATTTGAGGATCTGAGGTTCAAAGCCAGCCTGGGCAGGAAAGTCCCTGAGACACTTATCTCCAATAAATCACCAGAAAACTGGAAGTGGCGTTGTGGCTCAAGTGGTAGATCACTTGCCTTGAGTTGAAGAGCTGAGGGACAACACCCAGGTCCAGAGTTCAACGCCTCCCTCCCCTGCCCCCCCAAAAATGCTTACACAGTACATCACTCAACAGCCAAAAATGAAAGAAATGCTCTGAGTATGGGAACTGCATGAGTAATGTAGATAGTCATAGTATATTGACAAAAAGTAAGTAGTCTAGTACTCTTAGGTTTCAAGAATTTTGCAAGGGAATTTTGTATAGAAAGATGAAGGAAAATCTAATTGGATGTACTGATATGGTCAACAATAGAGTCAAGAAAGGTCTGAATTATTAAGGTTATATAAAGAGAATTAGCACATGTACTAAAGACATTTCTGAGGGAGAATTAATTGCTAAGAAGGATGGATTTGAAAGGAAAAAGAAAAAAAGTAAAAAACAATTATATACAGAGTATAGAACTACTGGTGAAAAGGAAGATATGGTCAAGAAGTAAGCTATGGGTTATCAATATTTAACCAGTAGGTATAACAAGAACAAAGTCAGAAAAAAGAGACAGACAATAAAAACTGAAGAGATTTAAGAGAGAACATCAATCTAGCAAACAAGTGAAGGAAACCTCCAGAACAATGTGGTGATAAGGTTTGCAAAACTAAACTGATAATATATATTTGAGAAGAGGCAAATGGCTTTGGAAATTTGGAGATCAGGGCCCTTTTAGAAAAAGCACTATCTAAAGGAGGCAACGAGACTCTAGTGAACAGGATTCAAGACTAATGGTGAAGACCAATGGCAACAGATAAAAGATTAGATGAATGGTCTTATCAGAGGTGGATGAGCCAAGGAAGATTGGCACATATTTTCAAAGTTGTCAACATAGAGTAAGGACTCTTTTCTTAAAGCATATCTAAAACTAAGCATTTCTAGATTTGCTACAGCTTTAACTACAAGTCTTCTACCCTAAGAAGATTCAGATTTGGGGAATAAAAGTTTCTCACCAAACATATTATTCGCTTTACTATTATTTTCAAACTCTATTATTTAAACATATACATATCCATCCATAAACAAGGTCAAATAACTTTTGGAAATACATAGAATTAACATAAAACCGCATATATGAATCAGTAATTACTTTTCCATAATCTTCGTATTTCAATAGTACTTAGGAAAACTACATTTTAGGCAAAAATAACAAAAATTTTTCTCTGTAAAGTTTCAATTATAGGGCTGAGAATGTGGCTTAGAGGTAGAGTGGTTGCTTGGCATGCATGCCCTAGGTTCCTCAGTATGACACAACCAGGAAAAAGCCAGAAATATTGCTGTGGCTTAAGTGGTAGAGTATTAGCTTCGAGCAAAAGAAGCTTAGGGACAGTGCCCAGGCCCTGAGTTCAAGTCCCAGGACTGGAAAAACAAAAACACAAAGAACAAAACAAATTAACTTCAATTCTCATTTATTTGCAAAACTCTCACTTTTTTTTCTATAGTACTGTTTTTATAGAATTACCTATATGTGAGTCACTAAAAAATAATTTCTCTCATTAGTTTTTGCCTTTTTTTTTATTGTGAAAATACAGAGGGGCTACAATTAAATGAGCAAGGTACTGAATACATTTCTTCTCAAGCATTGTTGCCTCCTTTGTTTCCCCTTCATTAGGTTTTTAATTGTTAAATTCCATCTTGGTTCAAATATTTAAAGATAAGGCTATTATAAATAACCCCTTGAACTCGGCTATAGTATTTTGGGTAACTGCCTTTGAGGAGAATTAACTCTAATTCCACTGTGTGCTCTTTTCCAGAGACTTTTCTTATATTGCCATACTGGAATAGGGTTAATTCTGCTTACTTGTTGCATCATTTGAGGTAAGTCTAAAACAAACATTTAAATTAAGCAGGATGCAGTTTCAACCCTGTATTTTATGAATGAGATTCCACAGATAACCCATTTTCTCTACAAGTACTTTTATGTTAACCTTGTAATAAAAAAAACACCCCAAAAACTCTACATAATCAATACTGATTTTAGATAGCATTCACCATATTGCCTATCCTAATGGGACAGGAGTTCTGTCCATGGTGCTGACAGATTTTTTGTTTAAAAGAGAAACAACATACAAAAGGGAAGTGGCTCAAGATGATTGGCATATAAAAAATGAAAAGAATTAAAAGACAGATCCTAGTGGTGCTAGCTTTGTTCATGAAAATTTAACTTAAAGAATGTCAAAAAAGGGAAGGTCGCTCAGTGGTAGAGCGCTTGCCTTGCATGCATGAGGCCCTGGGTTCGATTCTTCAGCACCACATACGCAGAAACTAAAAAGCCGGAAGTGGCGCTGTGGCTTAAGTGGTACAGCGCTAGCCTTGAGCTGAAGAGCTGAGGAATTCAGGCCCCACGACTGGACCAAAAAAAAAAGAATGTCAAAAATATTTGTATTTACCATGTACCTACCTCTAAGTTTGGCAGATACGTAGGTCTGTACCAAAGGCTGGACATTACCATAAGGAAACTATTTTCTAAGTTATCCAGAGGTATAATTCATCACTAATTCCCATTTGATTTTTATTAATTTTAATTTTTTCACAGTACTAGAATTTGAACTCAGAGCCTTGTATTTCTTAGGCAGTCATTCTATCATTTAAAGACTATAACCACAGCCCCTTATGCTTTCATTATATTTTGAATAGGGTCTCACTTGCATCTAAGATGGCTTGGTCCAGTTTGCTGTGCAGCTGGGATGATAGTAGTACACCACCATTCCCAGCTTTTAATTGGTTAAAGTGGGGGAATCTCATGAACTGTTTGCTAAGGATGGCTTATAATCATGAACCTTCTGATATCAGCCTCCCAAGTCATTAGGATTATAGCTTTAAGCACTCCTGTATTAAATAGTTCTTTCAGCTGAAGAAAACTACACAGGCCATCAAATTGAATTTGCTCAAACCCCTTATATAAACTGGCATATGATGTACACTTTAAGTCATCTCTAAATTTCTTATACTCTTTTTTTTTATTAGTTAATATAAAATGTATTAAAGGGGAAACAAAGGAGGCAACAATGCTTGATAAGAAATGTACTCATTACCTTACCCATGTAACTGTAACCCCTCTGTATGGTATTTTTTAAAAAAAAAATGTATTAAAGGTAAAAGTTCTTAAACTGGTTGTTTAAAAATTTTTTTTTTTTTTTGAGTGGCTAGTCCTGGAGCTTGGACTCAGGGCCTGGGCACTGTCCCTGAACTTCTTTTTGCTCACAGCTAGCACACTACCACTCAAGCCACAGTACCATTTCTGGCCTCTTCTGTCTATGTGGTACTGAGGAATCTAACCCAGGGCTTCATGCATGCTAAACAAGCAGTCTACCACTGAGCCATATTCCCAGCCCTGTTTATTAGGAAATGGACGATAATGCAGTATATAGTCACTTAGGAAGACAGAGAAAGAAAACAGGGACGGTAATAATCAAACTCTAGGAGATAACAAAATTTAAATACCAGACTGCCTTTCAATCTCTTAGGAAAAAAAAGTCTTAGAGTAAAATTCAGCTCAGGAATTGCAAAAGTTGGTACATCTGTGACACACTGAAAAGTCAATCGAGAGGCCAGGAATAGAGGCTTGATTAGAGGAAAAAGGTAAAAGAGGGACAAAATGGAAGCACTAATTATAAAGAATAAAATTCAACAATTAGATGCAATAACAAAATCTGCCTAACTTAACTGAAAGATTCAATCCTAGGGAAGATTAATTTGGGGTGGAATGGAGCACATAAACTCATATAAAGGCACAATATCTGATTTTAAGAACAAAGACTTAAAATTTATACTAGATGAAACAGTGAAGAATTATGAATGAGAACAATATGGAAAAGGTTAAATGAAGAATATTAAGCAGTTTCAAGCCTTTACATAAAAATAACAAATTCAAGCATGCAGACAGTTTGTAATGTTAGAGACCAAGTGAGGAGGAGGAGAGATGAAGCTCAGTGATATAGGGGATACCTAGCATGCAGAAGGCCCTAAATTTGATACTCAGCACTGCGGGGCAAAAGAAACAAGATATACACACAGATATGCATTAGCCAGCAAAATAAGAAATAATGAACAGGCTGGGAAGGTGGCTCAGTGGTACAGCACTTGCCTTGAAGGCATGAGGCCGTGGGTTCAATTCCTCAGCACCACATAAGCAAAAAGAAAAAAAAAGCCGGAAGTGGCGCTGTGGCTCAACTGGTAGAACGCTAGCCTTGAGCTGAAGAGCTTAGGGACAGCGCCCAGGCCCAGAGTTCAGGCCCCACGACCGGACCCCCCCCCCAAAAAAAAACAAAAAAAGAATGAACATGGACACAAACAAAATTTTCATTTTTGATATTAAATATTTTGCATGGATTAGTTTTTAACAAAGTTTAATTTAAAGTTTTTAAATATGAGACTATATAACCCAAACAAGAATAATTTTGAGTAAATAAATACATAATTATCACTTTGAATTTAATATTAGTATTTAAGATTTAATGGTAGAAACAATCTATTATTATTATTGCTATATTATAAAATAATCAATTTTAGAACCTATAAATAATGTAATTCTATTCAGAAAATGAATCATTACACACTTAAATTTAATCCAATATTGTATATCAGATATCTTCAATTCCTTCAGAACCCAGCACTACAATATTTTCCTTTTTGTTGGGATACATATATCTTAAAAGATTACACATTAAAAAATTTGTTTCTCCTCATTCAACCTTATAGGCATAGGTGGAATAGAAACTTTCTGAGGGCACAGCAAATAGGAAAGAGACTTGACAAATGGAATTATATCAAAATAAAAAGTTCCTGTACAGCAAAGGTCAACACAACTAACAGCAAAGTAACTAAACTAGAAGGACAGCCTACAGATTAGTGTAGTGAAGACTAGCAATACATTAAACAAAAGCCTAATATCCAAAATATACAAGGAGCTCAAAAAATTAACCCCCCTCAAAATCCCATCAATAATGGGCAAAGGAATTTGAGAGACTTCTCAGAAGAAGAAGAAAAAAAGGCAAATACAGGCTGGGAATATGGCTTAGTAGCAGAGTGATTGCCTAGCATGCATGAAGCCCTGGGCTTGATTTCTCAGTACTGCACAGACAGAAAAAGCTGGAAGTGGCACTGTGGCCCAAGTGGTAGAGTGCTAGCCTTGAGCAAACTAAGCTCAGGGACAGTGTCCCGGCCCCAAGTTCAAGCCCAAAGACTGGCAAAAAAAAAGGCAAATAGACATGAGGAAATGCTCAATATCCCTGTTGAACAAATTAAAACTATTTTGAGATTCCATCTCACTCCACTTAGATTGGCCAACATCAAGAATTGAAACAACTAATGTTGGTGAGGGTGTGAGGAAAAGAAGCCTTATTCAATGTTGGTGTAAATGTAAACTAATACAACCACTCTGGAATTTTACTCATCTATTAGAAGGAATAGACTATCCATTAGAAGGATAGACCAAGAACAAAGAATGGTATGTGAGGTAAACCAAGCTCAGAGACAAATAGTACGTGTTTTCTCTCATATGTTGAAGCTAAATCTAATATATAACTGGAATGATCACCTATATAATGGACTCTAGGCATTCACAAATAGACTAAAGGAGGATACCCTTAGGGGAGGAATCCAAACATTTAAGTTTTCTGAACATTTGAAACACTATATATAGGAATGGAAAATGTTTCTCCTGCCAGGTGCCAGTAACTTACACCTATAAACTGAGCTACTCAGGATGCTGAGATTTCAGGATCATGGTTTGAAGCCATCCCAGTCAGGAAAGGACTTGAGAGCTTTAACTCCAATAAATTACTCAAAAAAATCCAGAAGTGGAACTGTGCCTCAAGTGACAGAGCTCTAGCCTTGAGCAAAACAAGCTCAGGGACAGCACCCAGGCCCTAAGCTCCACTGCCAGCACCCCCTCCCCCCCAATAAAAGGAAGTTTCTCTTCTATGTATCAAACACAAAAATAACACACTCCTTCCCTTCTCCATGCACACTGAAATTTGTCAATACTTGTCAACAATTTTAACTGATGCTAATACTGAGATAATCTAACATTGGTCAGTGTAAGTCTTTGAGATTCACTAAATCTAAAGAACATATGGATATTTGTAAGAGACTCAAGGATTTCTTGCATGGGCTGGCTTCAAACAGCGATTCTCAGATCTCAACCTTCTGAGTACCTAGGATTGAAGGCTTGAGCCACTGGCATCTGGCTATTTTAGTTACTTTTAAACAAGAAAACAGGTATATGATTTACATTTCTACAGTTGCCAAAGCAACATTAGAAACCTTATATCAATTGCTTTAAGTCATACAACAATACACATAAAGTAACATTATTGACTTTGACTTACCTGAACATTCTCATTCCACTTCTCTGCAAAAAGCTTATCTGGGAATTCTGCAGGTAGCGATAACTGTTCTTTAAATATTTTAATGTATTGTGGAAAACCAAATGAATTCATTAAGTGTATCTGCCGATGAGAAAATCGTGACTTCACTCTTTTTTCTAAGAGCTCTAGAATATCCTTAAAAACAAATCAAAATATCTGTAAGACATGTTTACAAAATATTATGGCAATGTTAGAAATGTAAGTAAACTATTATATATTATCATAAATGTTTATAAGACTGTATGAAAGTAAAACATTTAGTCAGACGCCAGTGGTTCACAGCTGTAATCCTAGCTACTCAGGAGGATGAGACCTGACGACCATGGTTTGAAGTCAGCCTAGGCAAAAAAGTCTGTTAGACTCTTATCTCCAATTAGCCAGTACAAAGCTGAAGAGGAGCTGTGGCTCAAGAAGTAGAACACCAGCCTTGGGTAAAAAAGTTAAGGATGACACGTAGGCCCAGAGTTAAATCCCCAGACCTGCACACATGCACACACACAAACATAACAACAACAAAAATAAACATTTAAGAAAGTCATGCAAACCATATAATCCCTTTCTAGAAATCCTGCAAGCTTGGTGATGCCATGCCTTTTTCTTACAGTGTTATCCAGAGTTAATGAATAACATTTTAAGACTACAATGATGGCAAAAAAACTGTGACTCTTACTAAAAATAGCTATGTGTTACAGTTTGAAGCCAGCCTGAGCAGAAAATTCCACAAAACTGCATCTCCAACATAACTAGTAAAAAGATGACTGGAGTTGTGGTTCATGGGCAAGAGCATCAGCAGAGCAAGCAAGCAAGCTCTAGCCCTAGTTGAAACCCTGGTAAGGACAGAGAAAATTAAGATTACAAAACACAATGAGATTTATTACCATTCATGAAAATTAAGCCATCTTCCATGTAAGAAAGATAAAGAAAAAGTTTTCTTAGGTGAAGGAAACAACTTCCCTAAAACTGGTATGTGTTCAAGCTGTACATTAGAAGCACAGTAAGTTGTCTTCTTCAGTCATATAGATGAGTAGAAATTGTCAATGTTGACTTTCTTTTTTTTGTTTCAGTTCTGGGGCTTGAACTCAGGGGCTGGGTGTTGTCCTTCAGCTTTTTAGCACAAGGCTGGTACTCTTACACTTAGGTCATAGCTCCACAACTGAAGATTTTTTTTTTTTAGTGTGTGTGTGTGTGGGGGGGGGTTAACTGGAGATAAGAGAATCACGGATTCTTTGTTTTTTAAATTTTGGTTTGGGATGGCTTTAACTATGATCTTTAGCCTGCTGAGTAGCTAGGATTACAGCTGTAAGCTACTGGAGCCTGACTTGAATCTCTTTTTAATATTCAATTTCAGCTCTTGCAGCAAATGTTACATGAAATCACTCAATAATTCTATTCCTATAGAACCAAGGAAATGACTGAAGAACAGTATAGGTGTTCCTCAAAAAATTAAGTTTATAGCTACCATGTGACCTGGTATCCACTTCTGAAAATATATCCATAGATATGAAGTACCACAAGTATCTCATACATAAAAACTGTAAACAAGTGCTGGGGCTAAAAGTGTAACAGTGATGACTAGAGACTAAAATTAGGAAAGGTACAGAGAGTTGGTGGGAAAGAGTGGTTGGATTTAATCAGTGTATACTCCCCATATATATGCAAAATATGACACATTCTTAAAAGAAATGTAAAGAAATGAAAACAATCCACAGAAATGTGTAAATACAAGCAATATTCAAAATATCTTTAAAATGTAAATAATCCAAATGTCTTATCAACTGATGAATGAGCAAATTGTGGTATATGTATACAATGTAATATTATTCAGTGATAAAATGTAAGAACTGTTATACTTTGCACCTATACTTAAAATATCTTCTATGAAAGAAACCATAAAAGAAGCATAGGTAAATTGTTGTATAAATACAAGAAGGCTAATGGTTTCTCAGTGCTAGTGAAGAATAAGATCTGGAGTGAGACCTAAAAAATATAGGGCTCTTAAATTATAATAAATGTTCAACTATGAACACAACAAACATAGAAAAATTATGCATAAACTATGTAGTTTAAATAAGTAAACAATAAGGTATACTTACATCTTAGTAACACTGTTACAAGCTTATCTCAAATGTAAACATTGATATTTGATTTTTTAAAAAATTACTGCACATTTGAAGCTATAATAACTATAGCAGAAAAATATACTCTGAAAAACTTAAAATAGTATCTGACTTTTGTCTCAAAGTAATAGTGACAGAGGAGATGGAAAAAGGTCAAGGAAACTAGTTTGTAATAACTGTATAAATTAGATAATATATGCAAAAGGAGATACTGTACTGAAATCTGAAAACATACAAACTCAAATATACTCAACTGAAGAAACTATGATATAGAAGTAAAATTATTTTTCTTAAGATAGTACTGCAGTTTAAAGATGTGAAGTTAAGAAGCCATGGTATAAAAGCAAGAAATTTTCTGTTTTTCTTTAGGTGGTAGGTACTGAAGTTTGAAGTGAAGGACTTCTATTTGCTAGGAAAGTATCTACCACTTGAATCATATTTCTTGCCCTTTTGCTTAGTTACTCTTTAATCAGGGTCTTACAGTTTTTCCCAAGGTGGGCTTCAGACCATGATCCTCCTACCTATGGCCTCCCGTGTAGCTGGCATCAGAGCTGTGCTGTACCAAACACAGCTTATTGACTTACAGGGGAAGTTTCCTAACTTTTTGCCCTGACTTTACCATAGCTGGGATTATAGTTGTCAACTATCATGCCTGGCCTTAAGACAAGAATTTAAATAATCAAAATGGGAACATGGGTAGTTTAGGAGGTAGATAGAAAAGATTAATAGCTTGGGATAGGAAGACTGAGGGAGTGGGAAAAACAGAATATATCCAATAGTTAAGTGTAGGGCTACCATAAGAATTAAGAGTAGGTGGTTATGTTCAGAGACAGATGTGCATTTCCTATTTAAGGATTTCTAGATCACTCATAAAAGTAGTTGGTGGTAAAACAGTTAAAGTAATACTCTCTAAAGGGGCTGAGAGCATGGGTTATCAATTGAGCTATGCCAAGCAAGCACATGAAATCAAATTCCAGCACCACTAAAAAAAATTCTAGTAGTAAACAGTAAAAATTCTAGTAGTAAACATTAATGACAGAAGTTGGCAATGCTGGAATACAGGGAAGAGGAAAAAAAAATATTTCCAAAGGGAAATGGTTTCTTGCCGACAAAGTAACTACTTCCTTCCATTTATTCACGCCCTACAAATAGACACATAGGTCAAATTATATTTGAAATAAGTACAGGATTGGAAAATCAGATAGACTGAATAAAATCAGTAAGTTTGCCACTAACATTTCTACTCAAAGGAAGATTTTGTTGTTTTCTGTTTGGTTATTTATGCAAAAAGCCTCCTAATTTAGCCTTGTGTTAGCCTATTACTTTTGGCAAGGGGGAATAAAAAAGGTGTATTGTCCAGATGGTCTATGAATTAGGCTAACTTGAAACACATTCAAAGTACGTAAGTAGAAGGGAAGGAGGTACAGAGATAGCCACTTTATAGAAAAACTATACTAGAGTGACTTAGTAAAAATTTTCATTATACTAAAAAGAAAGAACTATAGGAAAAGAAAAATAGTAAACAAGTCTAACGTAAGCTAACTACCAATAGAAGGAAAGACAGAAGAAAGCTGCAGAGGCAGGACAGCTTGAGTATGAGAATCTAGGTCACAATTAAACATCTGTTTTTTGTGATTCAGCAAGGAAGTTCACAGTATAAAAGTGTAAGAATATAAATACAAAGTCTGGTAAAGCATAGGTTGAATAGGTACAGAGCCTTTGGAAAGTGTAAAGATGAGGTTGAGAATATTGATGAAATCATTCTAAAATCCCCCAAGGAAAAATCAAACCATAGCATTGTTGCTGCTTGACACAATCTCACCTATTTCTGAAGATGTGTACTTAGTAAGTTGGGGCTGATTTCAAGAATTTTCAAAATGTGAGAAGAATCTTAAACAGTAAAAGTAGCAACCATTATCAATATTTATAAAGTAATATTGAGATTATTTGGCTGCTTTTACCTGCTAATGTAGAACTCATACATATTTACATTTCTCTTTTTTCTTCTGTAATTCCATTGGAAAGACTTTTCTTGTTTATAATTTGTGAAAAATAAGACTAATACAGCATTGGTAAAACAAAATTTTCAAAATGTTTAAATGCTTAATAAGTAAAAAAGACAATGTGAGCAATCAAGTTTAAATTTTCTAAACATTGAATTCATTTTTATAAGCAAAACTTACCAATCTACATGTAAGACCAATAACTGCAACTGGAGTTTGTGCTGACTGAGAAATGTCAAAAAGATTATAGAGGAGAGTTTGGTTTTTATGATGAACAAAAAGATCAAATTCATCTAATACGAAGATTACTGGACAACTGCTAATCCGGTCACCTATGATAAATTGAGAGCTTGACATTAATATGTAATCATATTTTCTCCTAAATTTCAAACTATGAAATTCAAATTTTAAGAACTCAATTAAACAAATATATTGATAACTTATTTTGGGTAGGAGACTTACTGATGATCCAATAGGAAAAATTACTTACAGTTTAGAGACAGACCCTATTCCCTCAAGTATTTTAGAGTCAGTCACTTGACTATAACAGTTTGTTAATATTAAAAAAATCATTTAAATGACTACAGACTGTGTTTATAATTACCTAAATTTAATTCTTTAGTAATTATGAAACTATCAGACCTTCAACTATCTATTTAAACCTACTCTTGGATTGAAAGATAAATGAAGTATCTGAACAAAAGTATTGCTTGAAAACACACTGCATAGAAATCTAGAGTGTATCTAGCTAGTCAAATAATTTCAATCAACGTTAAGGAAGTTCGACTAAAATTACTTCAATTTCTTTTAACCAGAACTTGTAATACATTACCAATGAGGGAAAGCTCAGTATGATTTTGGATACATTTTCCTCAATACATTAATGGAAGTTCAAGCACTTGGGAAAAGAAAAATAGTGAATGATGCTTCATATACATTCATTCACTAAGGATGCTTCATATACATTCATTCACTAAGGGTATCTTTACATTTTTAAAAGCTGTCAAGTTAACCTATAATAGAAAACAACCCTATTGCAGAAAACAGAAAAAGAAGCCTAGAGGGTCTTAATTTCTCCAACCAACCCACAAAAAAATATATATACTTATTTTATATTTAATTACCTAAATCAAATCTTAAATAAATAGAAAAATCTGGTAAGAAACCAGTTACTCCATCAATAAACAAATATAGATGCTGAACCAGAGTACTCAAATGTCTATAAACAGACCTATGTAATAGTGGAGAAAGTTAGGTACAGAGCCTTTGTAAGGTTAGCTCTGATGTTAGAGCTCTACTTTAAAACATATCAAAATAAATTCCAACCAAACTCAAATTAATTATCACCAAATTAAAAATGTCTGTATGAAATAGAAACAGTGGTGAAGGTTTTCATTATCTGGATGAGAAAAAAATTCTAGATAAATTTAAACTATGTAAAATATTTTAAACTTCTATTTACCAAATGTCCAAAGGAAATTAAAACAATTTCCATAATCAAATGAGATAAGGTCTTCAACAATAGGAACTACATAAGACATAAAATATAAATGTTCCACAAAAATATGAAATGATAAGCACCACTAATAGAACTATGCAAATTAAACTGAGAATGTTTTCCTTTTAAATAGCCAAACATGAAAATGTTTTTAAAGTCTCAAAAATAGCATTCTCAAATATGCTTATAAAAGTTTCTTAATATTAACTCTTCTCAATATGATGCTTTTTAACTAGAATTTTATCCATGACAACTCATCCCAGGAAATACATGGATAATCCTTTAAATTTTCTTATTATAAAAAAATTAAACAAAAGCCTTTAACTGGAAATTAAAAATTAGAGTGTCTTCATAATACAGCATATAAATGAGTCATAAAAAAGATGTGGATTAAAAAAATTACTAAATATAAAGTGAGAGAAGGGATGGGTTAGGAGAGATGGGTGACAATGTTGTCAGACACTTTGTACTCATATACTGTTTTGTAGAATGGGAACTTCTTTGTACAACTACTTAAAAATAATAAAAAAAATTACTGAATACAGAACACAAATTATTTTGTTCTTTTTGCTTTTTGAAATGATCTTGCTATGTAGCCCAGATTAGATTTAAACTTTGTTTTCGCTCCCCAGTGCTGGGTATATTGGTCTATGCCACCATGCCTAGGTTTGATTTTATTCTAGTAAATTTTTATGTATGTATGTATGTATGTGCATCTATCTAATCTACCTACCTCTGAATGATAAGTAACAGGTGAATAACACAAGAAATCAAAGTTTAATCTACCTCCCTACGAATGATAAGTAACAGGTGAATAAACACAAGAAATCAAAGTTAACTTCAATAATCACTATTAAGGACAGTGAGTAGTGACCATTAGTCTCTGTATATAAAAACATGTACTATCTTCGTAAGTCTCTGTTTATAAAAACATGTACTATCTTCATAGTCAGCAGAGACTAAAATTAAAAATAAGCATAATGGGAGAGTAAAAGGGAGTGAGACTGATCAATGAGACTCTCTTTCCCATTCCATAAAAACAATTACGCTGATAAAAAAAATGAAAATAACAGTAAGTCTTATTGAAATTAGTTTAAGGGAGAGGAGAAATAAAGTAAAGTGATGAAGGGGTCTGTTGTATTGAGATACATTGTATACATGTATAGACATGTCACAATGGGCCAGGCATTGGTGGCTCACGCCTGTAATCCTAGCTACTCAGGAGGCTGAGATCTGAGGATCATGGTTCAAAGCCAGCCCTGGCAGGAAACTCCCCGAGTCTCCTATCTTCAATAAACCACTAGAAAACCAGAAGTGGCGCTGTGGCTCAAGCAGTAGAGCACAGGGACAGCGCCCAGGCCCAGAGTTGAAGCCCCATGACTGACAAAAAAGTCACAATAGTACTCTGCCTGCACAACTAATATGTGCTATAAGAAACCTTAATTTAAAAAATTATGTTACTACTGTCAAATTTTTATATTTAAAATACTTACCTTTTCTTAAAGCATCTAGAAGAAATGAAAGGTTTTCTGCAAAACTTCCCTGAATAACAAAAAAAGGAAAAAGTGATCAGATATTTAATACAATAACTAAAAGGACTGAATCTTAGATTTTTATATAGAATCGTTCGCTAACCCATGGCACTGAATCACAGCAATGAAGATGGTAATACTAGTTATGTTTAAAAGTCTGTATTTTCTAAAAAATTTAGTAAAGTGTTGAATTTATTTGAAGGTAGCTTTTGGAGAGCTGCTACATCTAAATAAAGTTGAAGAACTAGAATGAATTTATTTTCACATATCTTCAAGCACAACTAGGTTCCTGCAAGTCTCAAATTAGTTTCTCCCACCAAAGAACTTACTATGAATTTAAGTGAGATCCCCAAGGGGGGGGGGATCAGAAAAAAATTGTCAAAATATGAATGTTTGTCTTTTCAAGAGCCTACTGAAAAATTTATAGCGTATCACATTTGGCTGTTAACTTGCAATGTACATAAAATATTTTTGGACACAAATATGGTAAATAAAATTTAATGGAGAGGTTCCAAATTCTATGTAGCGGTTCCACTAAAATATTTTTTAAGTTATGAAATTTTATCTCCTTAAGGTATTTTAAAAAGTCAACTTGTTTGTTCCTCAGCTGAACAATCTGATATGAAAAGTGTAATTGTTTTTTAAGAATTTCCACACATAGTGATGATGACATCCTCTTATATCAGTAATATCTCCAAGGCGGAGCAAGAGATGTCATCCATGATTTGCTGTAATAAAACAAAGTTTCAAAGAGACAATCCACTAGAAAATCAGTGTTTCAAGTTATTCAGGTACATTCTTCTGGCTTGTTCAAAAGACTATTATATTTATTATTAAATATACTTATGTAAGGTATATTTAATGCAATTACTGTAAATATATCAAACAGGAAAGTTCTAGGTTAAGTGATTTCAGTTTTTAATAACAAGTTTTTGTCACCTTTTAATCCTTTGCTGGTTTTGTGTGTGTGTATGTATGTGTGTGATGGGACTCTGGGACTGGGCTCTGTCCTTAAGCTTCTTTTGCTCAAGTCTAGTTAGTGCTCTATCACTTGAGCCATGGGTCTACTTTCACTTTTTTAGGAAGTTTATTGGAGATAAGAGCCTCATGGACTGGCCTTGAACTTCTACCCTCAGATGTCAGTCTCCTAAGTAGCATGAGCCACTGGCATCCAGTGGCCACTATAATCTTGAAGCAAACTATATTCTGTCAACCTGAGATATTTAATCTATATAATGAAAAGATTAAACCAATAACCTCTAGTCAGTCATCCTTCATTACCCTTGGAGGGCTGAATCTTGAATTTCCAAGATGCAAAACCTGTATATAATCAAATCCCCTATATAAAATGGTACAATATTTACATATAAACTACACAATTCGGGCTGGAAAGGTGGCTCAGTGGTAGAGCGCTTGCCTTGCATGCCTGAGAGGCCCTGGCTTCGATTCCTCAGCACCACATAAGCAAAAAGAAAAAAGCCGGAAGTGGCGCTGTGGCTCAAGTGGTAGAGCGCTAGCCTTGAGCTGAAGAGCTGAGGGACAGCGCCCAGGCCCAGAGTTCAGGCGCCACGACTGGAACCCCCCACCCCAAAAAAAAGAACTAAAACTACACAATTCTACATACTATACTTCAAATCATCTCTAGATTATTTATAATATCTAATATAATTTCAGTAATTTGTTGTTCTATACTTTTGATGGAATAATAAAAAAAATTCCATTAAATCTTAAAAAATGCTTAATTGCATAGCATGCTCTATGAAATTACGAGGGCCAAGGTACAAAGGAAAAACAAGTTAGGTCAGTAGTACGTGATCACAATTTAACCTGCTTTCTCAGCTTTGAAAAATAACTTCTCATTTTTGAGCATTAAAAAGCCCTTGGCTTTTTATTCTAGGACCTAAGTTTTGCCTGATTACATGCCTGAATAGGAATCTGTTTGCTTATTACTTTTCATCATAGCTGGGATGAGAAGACCATGCCGACACATTCAGCTTCTTCTACTGAGATGAAGTATAGCAGAATTTTCTGCTCTGCTGACCTGGAACTGCAGTCCATTTGAATTCAGCTTCCCATGTAGCTGCTATGGCAGGCATGTATCACTGCAGGCAACTACTGGTTGAGAAGGTCTCATAAGCTTTTTTGCTCAAGCTGGCTTCAAATAATGATCTCCTTAAAGTTATCCTTTCAATCTTAACCTCCCAAGTAGCCAAAATTATAGGCAAGAGGTACTGGCACCTTCATTACATGTTTTTATGACACAAATTAGAATCTGAGACCCTACAACAGAAGATTATTTAATAAAGTAGCTGAAATGATACTTACAAAAACTTTATCTCCAACTACATTTTCCAGATTTAACTGTCTTGTGATTTCCTTCAGTGCAATTTTATCATTGATCTGCAGCAGTCCTGAAATGTAGTCCATTTAAACTATTTAATTAACATAAAGAATTTGACAGTAATCATATATTTTCCGATGGTTTTGAAATTTAACGAGAAAATATTAATCATGTCTGTTAGTTCTCATTGATTTCTTTTAAAAAACAAACAATAAGGTACTTGATAGATTTAAAAACTAAATTTTTGGGGAAATAGTATTATTAAAAACAACAACAAAAATCAGAGTATTTGTATACGTCCTTTATTTCTTTTTTGAGTTCTAAAACTAGTATGTACAATGTGATACAGTACAAGCTACTGAACATGGATCTAGTTGAAAAAATATAAGCACACAGATTTAAAGCATACAAGTGAATTTGTTTCACGATAGAAAAAGCATATGCAATTTGTAATCAGTTCCATTGGGAAAATGACATGCTTACCGTTCAGATGAACTTGTAATACATTTTCACTCACTTCTATTTCCATAAGCTCTTTCAAAGCATGATTTATTAGCTAAAAAATACAAAAAGTAAAGTATCTAATAATATGGAAAAGATTAAAAGAAGCTCATGTTCCTTTTAAACAATGGTTTATAGAAACAGGTTGTTCAAGTAAAAACTTTACAGTTTAAAGTATAACTAGAACGTAACTAGAACTACATCTGTGTCTTAAGGTTCCAAAACCATAATTGATACTCTCAAAAAGCTACCTAAAATTCAAATGATAGTTTAGTAACAATTCTGAATTTCTCAAAGATATATTTCTCTATATACCACACTGAACTACAGTCCATTACAATTCTATGTATCAGAACATTTTATGTATCACTAACACTCCAGGCCAGGTGCCTGTGGCTCATGCCTGTAACCCTAGCTACTCAGGAGGCTGAGATCTGAGGATCATGGTTCGAAGCCACCTCAGGCAGAAAAGTCCAAGAGAGACTCTCATTTCCAATTAGCAACCAGATAACTAGGAGTGGTGCTCTGGCTCAAAGTGGTAGGGCACTAGCCTTGAGCAAAAGAGCTCAGGAACAGTGTCTGGGCTCTGAGTTTAAAAAAACTCCACAACTGACACAAAAACAAAAGCATTTACTCTACCAAGTATTATTATAATTGGTGAAAAGCTATCCGAATGGTACATTAGAAAACACTAAATGATTGTACAAATTTTATTTCCACTGTTGTTCTCAGACTATTGTAAAGCACTTATATGTTACCCTGGAATGAAAATGAGAAAAGGTTAGGGCACCAGTGTGTCATGCCTATAATCCTGGCTACTCATGCAACTAAGATCCCAGGATCATAGTTCAGAGCTACCTAGAGCAGGAAAGTCTATGAGACTCTTATCTCTTAATTGAGAGTAAAACTGTAGCTTAAGATGGTACAGGTCCTGAGTTAAAAGACCCAGGGCAAGCACCAAAACACATACATATATATGCATACATATATCTATATATATGTATACATATAAAATATAATTAATAACTATATGATATACAATATCATATATATTATATGCCTATAATATATATCATATACTAATATATAAAATATATTAATACATAATATAATTATTACTATATAACAAGAAAAACTTCAGAATTGTTGCTTAACTATCATTAGACTTTTGATTACTTCTGAGTATCATTCATGGCTGTGAAATCTTAAGACTTAGATGTAATATGTTCTAGTATTGTAAATATTTTGAAAGTTTTTTAATAATAATATAATGAACATACATTGTGATTTAAATATATGTGAGAAAAAGAAGTTAAACTGAAAAGGAAATATTCTCTATTAGTAGCTAAATACACATTAAAGAAAAAGCTAGGCTCATTTAAAATATACTACCCTAACATCATAAGGGTTTGCCTTTCTTTTATGATTTAAAAGAGGAAAAAAAACAAAATGTTACAAAATAATGAAATGAATTTTTTTCAATGTTACTTATATTAAAAATCATCACGTTTAGAAACCAAAGAAACACTAGAAATTATAAGTTTTTACCAGTGTTTTTCCTGATCCTCGGGGCCCAATAATGAGTACAGAGTTACTTTCTCCATAGATAGCAGTTCTTTTAAGTAGCTCAATTAAGTGTCTAAAATGATATAAAAAGGCCAAATATTAAAATATAACATTGGAATAATGTACCACATTGTGCATTTTAAAGCTAAATTTGAATTATGCATAAAAATTCCTCTCTTGCTGGGTGCTGGTGGCTTATGCCTCTAATCTTACTCAGGAGCCTAGCTAGTGATGATAGAGGTTCTTAACCAGCCCAGACAAGTAAGTCCATAAGACTCTTATCTCGAATTAACAATCAAAAATCCAGAAGTGAAGCTGTGGCTCAAGTGACATAGTGCACAAAAATTCAGGAACTACATGTAGGCTCTGAGTTCAAGACACAGGACTAGCACCAAAAAACACAAAACAAGTTCCTCTTTTCTTTGCCCAATTCAAATTTCTAGGAAAAGAAGATAGTAGAGAAATCCTTGTATGTATGGAATATATTGGGTTTTATGATAATAGACAAAGGACAACAGTGACAGTTCTTAGAACCCCTATGTTTAGAAATCCCTTTTCCTACTAATACTCTATGGTCTTGAATTCCTAGAGCTGGCTGCCTAGTATTAAGAGCAAGAAAATCAGAATTCTCTCCATAATACCAAGTAATAAAAGCAATAGAAGATTGTTAAAGGACTTGTTCATTATAGAAATATTTGTAGCAGCTTATGCTTCACGTGGTACTAAACACAAGACAAATATTTTTACATGTATAAAAGTATAGGGTAGGGGATATGTTTCAAGTCATAGAATGCTGGCCTTTAGTAACTGGAAGGCTGAATTCAAAGTGCAATACTAATAACAACAACAACAAGAAAAGTATACTTTAACCTTACTTAAGATCAAATTTGTGTTTGATTAAATTTTATAAAATTCATAAGGCATCTATAAATGTTTCTTAACAGATTAAGGGCAGAACTATACTTACTTGTATTGTACTTGGATTCCAAATAAGTTACCATGTGGACTCTGATGACAAAATCTTTCACGTAATGTTCTTTGAACCTGATAAAAACAAAATGAATATAAATATTATATATGTAATACAAAATGTAAAGAAAGTATGCTTGTAACCATCAGAAAAGTATTAATGAATCAATACAACCCTAAGTAAATACTTGTCTTAAGTATTCTGACTCCTTCTGACTTTCATTTGCATGAGTTATAAACTTAATGATTATTTTTATTTATCCAGACACAGAATTAATGAAAATTTAGTAGTGAAAAGTTTCAATAAAATGGAGACTTATTTAAACTACAACACTAACAAAAGGATTGCTTTAAACTAAGTGAGGCAAGGAACAAGGAACAAAAACAGGAAGAAATCTAACAATTCAAGCTAATAATGGTCATGTACCACATACCAATTGCTAAAGACAAATATATCTAAACACAATTATCTCAATCACTACCAATCTGTATGTGTCATAACAGTGAAGACTGGAAAATAGAAGCTTAAGTTTGTGTAGTTATGAGGACCTATTAAATTCAGATCAAAAAATTATTTAAAAAAATATGATCCATACTCAGAAAGACATAGCAAATGAATTGGAAAGAAAATGACCAAACAAAAAAACTACAAAAAACAAACCAACAAACAATCTATTAACATATATGAGAGAGGAGATTTATCTAGGCTATAAAAATACAATTCAGGAATGAAGATGTAGCTCAGCAATACAGCCCCTTTCAGGCAAGCTAAAGGTCTAGTTTCTATCCTCTTTACTGAAAAATGAACAACAACAAAAAATCTCAAAACGAACCATTTGAAATGGGTTCAGAAACACTGCCCCCCTCAAGCTATATTTTGAGTATGTCTTACAATTAGAACCTTAGACTTGGTTATGTGAGGTAATTTGCTATAGTCTTAAAAATCATTAAAGTCATTTCTTTACTGGATTTCTTGCTAATACAGAGGTTCTTAAGGGACAACCTTATTAGGTAGGGTAGCTATCTCAGATTTGGTCCATGAGCTGAAAAATAAAAGCCCCCAATTATTTCTATCTCCCAGATTTACAGCACAGGACTTACTCTTCATATACCAAAGAGTTAAAACTTGTGTTCTCTTTAGATGTACCACAAGCTAAGCAATGAAAATTATTCACTAGGGATAAAAGAATGTATAATTAACATTTTAAATGAAGTAGAAATAAAATTGGGATTGGTGCCCAAAAGCCAGTGATATGAACTTATAAAGACCAACTTTCCTAAATCTTAATTGTTTTATCTGTAAGTGTAGGAGTTATAGAAATAATAGCTAGTTGTAAAACATTCAAATCAGTGATATTTGTAAAACAAAACAAAAAACTCTAGAATCAGAGATAAACTCAGATTCAATAAATCAGAGCATCAATTTCTCTACAAAGATAAGAACACTAGAAATCAAAAGACAAACTTCAACCCTTTCCTTAAAAACAAAACAAAATCATCACTGAAATCTTCTAGGGTACAACAACTGTGTACCAAATACGCAGAAAATTAATCTGTGCTAAGAACGTTGAAAAATCCTAGTCATACTGGGATATATGTTAATAACATACAGAAATTAATCTCTAAATTCAAAAACTGTATTTTACACAGAAATCCATATAAATTATACCTGATTTTGAAATGTTTCTTCTTATTTGGAGGCAATACTGGAATTTGAATTTGTAGGGCCTTATTTATTAAGGAAGCATACTATTTAGGTCCTTTTGGCTTTGGTTGTTTTTCAGACAGGATCCACCCCTACATGCCCCAGTGACTTGGCCTCAGACCCTGAACTTACTTACTTCCTTTGCTAGGGAAGTTAAGTAAGTAGCTGGGCTTATAGATGATGACCCTCATGATTGGTATGGTCTTTAATATAGGATACCATTTTTGGCGTCGTATAGTCTGGAACCACAATGCTCCGATCTCCCAAGTCCCTAATACCTTCTTGTTTTCTGAGATAAGTTGTTGCTATGCAGTGTAGCCCTGTCTGGCCTGGAAACATCATCTTCCTGTCTCAGCTTTGTTGAGATTTGGAATTACAGGTATGCACCACAAAGCCTGGCACTCAGTAAAATGGTTTTTGAAACATTTTTCCTAGAAAATAAAGTGAGGTCTTAAAAAGGGCTATAAACAAATATAGTGTTCATTTGAAAAATAAATGTAGCTGAGGTCAAGTCAACAAATGGAAATGCTTATGTAGAAATATGCCCTTTTCCTAGATAAGTATACATTTCTCAAGGAGGAAATACACTTACACAGTTAGTATTTGAAATATAGTCTGTGCTTAAGAAAAATAAAACTAGTTATATAATGAAACTTCATTAACTTAATAAAGGGTACCTATTTTTAAAAACCTAAAGGTTAATACTCATATGGCAAATGTTTACTCCTTGAGATAAGCATGTCCATTCTCACTACTCCTGTTCCAACCTTTTATTGATGCTTCACCAAATTACTATGAAAGAGAAATAAATTAAAAACATGGAAATTGGAAGGAAACTTTCTCTACTTGTAAATGACATGATGTTGTACATAGGACATCTAAAGAATAAAATAAATGAGTTTAGCCAGGTAAGGTAAAGTATCAATTTATAAAAAAAAGCAATTGTGCTGCTGTAAACTAGGAATTAACTAAAATTAAGAAAATAATTCCACATAGAATGATACCAAAAAGAATAATTTAATAATAAATTTAACAAAGACAGTACTAAACTTAAGATTCTAAAGTCAGTATTTAAATAAATTAAAATCAATTACTTTAGAAATACTTAAGTAAAAAATCTAAGATACAAGTATCTAAAGACAGAAAGGATGAAATTAGTAACACCAGACATTAATATGAAACAATTTCAACAACCACTGACAGAAAACGGTTTGAGAACACCATAAAAATAAGAGCATTTGTCATTCCAAATTAATTTTGACAGTCTGGAAAGCTTTGCTTCCATCTGACTATTTATGACCTTGTACTTTTCCTCAAAGGAAAAGAGTAAGCCCTTCTAAGTGATTTTTTTAAAAAGTCAACCTAAAAAAAAAGTCAACTACTTCTCTGACATTTTTGCAAGGTAAGGCTTTGAGATTAAGGAAAAAACATACTAACCTGTAAAAGGCACTCTGCATGTATTAAGTTGTTATTCTTTGATTTACGATTGCTCATTTCAACGAATCCAAATCCTTAAAAAAATAAGATGAATACTATAAACATTACATGTGTTAAAAGACAAAGGTTTCTAGATTAAAAAATACGTTTTTGACTGTGCAAAATGTTTAAAATTTTCAAATGTAAAAAATCCCCAATAGAGGCTTGATACTCTTAACATTTTATACTGTACTTACAACTACTTCTCTCTTTCCTTTAAGTCTATTATTCTTGTACCTTTCCTTCCTTTTCCACATATAGTTTTTTTCCTACCAATCCATCCAATAGATAAGACCATAGTCATAATCATCCCTTAAGGAAAATCCTTCACGTCTTGCTTCACTCCGCAACGTATGTAGTCTACTGACTACGTTAAATGTTTGTTTTTTGGGGGGGTAAATACTCGAATACATTCATTTCTCTTTATTCAGAGGAGAGAGAGAGATGAATGAATAATTCATGAGAGAAAGAATGAATAATTTGTTTTTAAAATTCTCCTTGGAGCACTGTTTTGGTCTGTTTTTGTTTCCTATGCTGGTCATGGAGCTTGAAATCAGGGCCTGGGCACTATCCCTTGGCATTTTTTTTTGCTCAAGGCTAGCTCATGCTCTACCACTTGGGCCACAGCTCTAACTTTGGCTTTTTGGTGGTTAATTGGAGAGAAGAGTCTCATGGACTTTTCTGCCCAGACTGGCTTTAAACAGTGATCCTTACAGCTTCTTGAGTAGGTGGGATTACAGATATGGGCTACAGGCACCCAGCTCCTATAGGAACATTTTAGAAAGTAATCACAATAGCTTAAGCAAAATTTACTTACTAGACACATTAAAAAAGACCTGGTTCATTTAACTCTGAAAATAAATTTAGCAAATACTCAGAATCTTTTTAAGGGGACACAGAAGAGTTAAATAATTTAATTAAATCAAGTAGCATACAAGTGGAAAATCTATTATTTTGAATCCAACTAAGTCATAATACTTATTTTAAAATGTACTTCATTTTCCCTAAAGCCTTCAGAAGATGCAGTGTTTATATTAGCCTGCTAAGGGCTGTTTTGGAACTTCTGACCTCCAAAATTCATCTGATAAAGATCACTAAGCTATCATCAAATCACCAATGATTATTGTCATGTTGTGGTAGTAAAGTCAGCAAAAATTGGAAAGGAGGCTACATCCAGATATGTTTCCCCACATTGAAATAGTTTCACAGCTACTGAGTGGACAAAAGCACTTTGGTGAGGTTTGGAATTCTGGTTTGAAATTGATGAAACTCCAGAAAAGTCCCAAACTACCAAAATTCAAAACATTATGTATAGATGTAATATACCTCTATAAAATTAAGACTATAAACCTAAGCCCAATGTTCACAAAGCTATTATAATCAAAGCAAACCCAGCATGCTACAGATACCAAAACAGATATACAGACCAATGGAACAGACCACTTAGCCCAGAAATACCAAGAATGTGGGTGATGTTAATGATAAGCTGATCTTTAAGGTTCCAAAAATACATAATGAGGAAATGATAGATTTTTTTCAATAAATTTTCCTGGAAAAAGTGCATCCACATGCAGAAGAATGAAATTTGACTCTTACCAAGATAAACTGTCAAATGAAAATGGACTCAAAACTTAAACCTAGGCCCTGAAACTGTACCAACTTGTAAAAGAAAACACAGGAAGACACCTCTGTTGACACTGATCTTGACAAAGGTTTAGAAATGACCCTCAATACAAAAGCAAACAAGCAAAAAAATTTAAAAAAATCTTCCACACAGAATTACTCAATAGTGTGGAGGGACTGAACTACCTACAGAATAAAAAAAATTGTGAGTCTTATGTTTTGTAAGAGTTTAAGATCTAAAATATGGGGCTGGGATGTAGCTCAAACTACCAAAAAAGAAAAAACAAACAAACACCAAATCCAAGCTTAAAAAACCCCAAGCTCAAAAACTCAGCCCACACTGGTGGCACATGCCTGTAATCCTATTCAGGAGATTTAAGGATCACAGTTTGAAGCCAGTACACAAATGAGATTGTTATTTCCAATTAAACACAAAAAGCTGGAAGTGGACTATATACAGTGTGACTCAAGTGGTAGAGCTCCTTGAAAAAAAGCTAAGCAAGAACACTGAGTCTCAGAGTTCCAGCTCCAGAAGAAGCACAACTTATGATGAAAGGGTTGACATCCATCAAGATGCATTGTACTTAGGCGATTCCACCTTACCCCAGTTAGAATAGCCATGATCAAAAAAACAGTAACAGTAACAGATTCTAGCAAGGATATGGCTAAAAGCCCTAATACACTGTGGATGGAAATGTAAACTTGTTCATCTACTCTGGAAAGCAGTGTGGAGGCCCTCAAAAAATTAAACACAGAACTACCCTATGATCTAGCAATTCCACTCATGGTCATTTACCCAAAGGATTACAAAACAGGATACAGGAAAGCCACCAGCATAACTATGTTCATTCTGGCACTATTCAAGGTATGGAATCTCCTCTTATGCCCCCCAATGGATGAATAGATCAAGAAAATTGGATATATATACACAATGAAATTTTATTCCTCCAATAGAAAGACACTGTACCATTTGTCAAGAAATGGAAAGACTTGGAAAATAAAAAAACTGTTAAGTATGTCAAGCCCAGACAGCCAAAGGATCCATGGTTTCCCTTATACATATAAGCTAAAATAAGCTTACAAATTTTTAAGTGAATACATTGGATGGTATCCAAGTATATAAAAATGGATTAACTGAAATATGATAGATTTGAGGGAGAATTAAAACAGTATATTTCCTTAGAAAGGCAGAGTCGAAGTTAAGTAAAAAAGAAACTAGGAAGTGGGTACTTGAAAGAGGCAGGGTAGTGTTAAGGGGAAAAGGGCAGAGGAATGAAGAAAAGAAAGGGAAAATGTAGCAAGAATTCAAACTATATCCTACAAAACTAAAAAGTGAGACAGAAGAGGTTAGTAAAGGAGGGATGGGTGAGATATATTGTGTTCATAAACTGCTTGGTTAAATGGCAACACCTTTGTACTAAATAAAAAAAATCAAATATTTTTAAAAAATGCCTAGAGGTATCTTAGCATACCTAGTAGGAAAACAATTATATCAAAAAGAAAAGTCAACAAATGTTGACTGAAGGCGGAGACAGCAGAACTCTTGAGAGTACTGGTAGAATGTAAATAGGTACTGCCAGTATGGATTAACAGGAAGACTTTACTTACCAAGGTAAAAGAAAAAATACCATATTATCCAGCAATATCCTTTCTGGATATATATGCAATGGAAATGAAATCAGTATCTCACTCCAATGTTTAATGTTCAATTTTAAATGTTCACCATAGCTAAGACATATAATGTAAGTGTCTCTGTCCATCAATGAATAGAAAAGCAGTATATGTACACAATGGAGCAACACTCAGACTAAGAAAAAAAATCTTATAATTTACAAATATATCAATGCCATCTGGAGATGTTAAAGGAAATAAATAAGCATGGAAAACCAGATACCATGTAATTTAACTTACATATAATCCTAAAACCACCGAAGTCAAAGAAGTAAAAGATCATAATGGTACAAAGCAAAACGTAACAGAAGCACAAGACAGGCTTTCATTCTAAACAATGTCTTTCACTGTACTTCTTTGACAGGGAAATCAAGGTTCATGTGCCTTCAAAGGCAGCTTCAAACAAAGGTATCCAGAACTAGGACAGATACAGATATTATTCATTAAGAATTTTCAACTTAAAATAATACAGTTTTAAATTGGTAATAAAGAATTACAAGATGATCAATCAATATAGTTAAGTGGATCCCAATAGGTTCAAAGACCAATGGTGCTAAAAAGCCATTAAAACCTTAGCAGTGATTCCCTACATTCTATTGTCAGAGTTTCTTTAATAAACTTGAGTTGCCAGATAATGTTCATGTTGACAGTTCAGAAACTACACTTTATGAGCTACTGAGGAAAGATTACTGTAAATTCAATATCAAAGCTGATAAAACTAAAAATATACAACAGAAGACGAATCCCTGGCTACCAAAAGAATTTTCTTAAACCAACCTGAGCTAAAGGTGTAACAAATATTTGAGGATCACTGGAATGGGATTTGTAGGAAGTGCTGAGAATACAAAAGGAATCAGGAATTCAAAGGACTTCCATGATAAAGAAATCTGAAGTCTCAGTCAGAAAAAAGAAATCTTAGATCACCTGCTACTAGGAGAGACAAAAAGCCAGAAGGGTTTTATTCCTATAACAGAAATATGACTTTAAAAACAAAAATTATTATTTTGTAATTCCTACTTGTATTTTTTGAGGTACTGGGATTTGAACTCAGGATGTTTTGCCAATCAAGATGCTCTATCACTTCAGCTATGTGCCCCTCCCTAGACCTTTTTTGCTCATTTTTCAAATAGTTTCACATTTTTTTAACCAGGGCTGGCATTGGATCTATAATCCTCCAATGACCTATTTTATAGTTGAGATCATCATACTCAACTTTTTGTTGTTGGTGGTGGCTGTGAGGCTTGAAATTAGAGCCTGGGTGCTATCCCTGAGCTTTTTGCTCAAGTCTAGCACTCTATCACCTTGGGCCACAGGGCCACTTCTGCTTTTCTAGTGGTTAACTGGAGATAAGAATATCACAGACTTACCAGCCCCAACAGGCTTAAAACCACTATCTTCTTATCTCAGCCTCCTGAGTAGCTAGGTTTACAGGTATGAGCCACCGGCTCCTGGATCAGGCTCAGCTTATTAATAGAGATGCAACCTTATTAACATTTTGCTCCTGTGGCTTTGAATGGCAGTCCTCTGACTCTCCACCTCCTGAGTAGCTGGGATTAAAGGTTTGAATCATCAGTACTTGTTTACAATCTGGATACTTCTGATGAAGTATGTACAGTTTTGGTGATCTGTTTTGAAAATTCTCTCTCTATATTTTTTATCAACATTTTAAAAAAGTCTAAATCTAGAAAGGAACAGATTGCTCCAATAATATATATGCACAAGTCATCTCAAAGTAGAAGCT